ATACCCTTAAAAAACCCCACTAAAAAATCCCTAGGCCAGACCCGCTTGTTGAAAAAGCCATGTCTTTAGGGCGCGGCGGAAGGAGGGGAGATCCGGGATCACCCGGATCTCTGGGGGTAGTTCGTTCCAGAGGGTGGGGGCTCCCACCGAGAAGGCCCTCCCCCTGGGGGTCGCCAGCCGGCACTGTCTGGCTGACGGCCTATTGGTTGCCTATTGGGTCATAAAAGTATGCTATGATTTATATAAAATATATTTTAATGCATGTGTATACATAATATATAAAGTTGTGTTTTCTGATTTTTTCAGTATGTCCTATCGGTCCTGAAATTCACCTATCCAACACTTTTTCAAGGGTAAGCATAATTTCATATATACATGAAAAAGAAGTATTTAACCAATGGGGATTGAACCAGAGAGAAGCTAATCTTTGTACTGCATGTTTTCCAATTGCTATTTTTCCTCACCTGGAGAGCTCTTACAGTATTATGCTTAGACCTAAGTACCCTTCTGGACTACATTTCCTATTAGTAAGCCTGACTGCTGACTCTCCAGGCTATATTATATCCTAATAACAGTAAGTTGTGGGAATAATGTATGCATGCTTTGTTTTCATTTCTATTGATCACAATAGGCAAGATTATCCTGGTCTGTAGATGTGATGTGCAAATATGGTTTGCATACCATACTAAGCTATGGTTTCACATCTGGGCTGAAAAAAATTGAACAACACTAAATTGCAGCAGAGATACAGAAAACTCTGACTTTGTTACTACTATCTAGCAGTAACAGCCCAGATATGGTAGCTCTATACTCAACCATGATTCATTATAAAGCCACTGTTAGAGTTATACAATTCGCTAAGCCTATGGTGTCTTTCATCACATATTAACTCAAACTAAACAAGTGCAGTTTGTGGTTACATGTGTGAATAGGGAAGAAGAAAAAAACAAGCCATTCTTAATGTTACAGAGTTTTGGTATATAGTTAAGATGTGAACAGTTTGACTATAGGGCAGGGGTAGGCAACCTTGGCTCTTTTATGACTCATGGACGTCAACTCTCAGGAATTCTGGGAGTTGAAGTCCACGAGTCATAAAAGAGCCAAGGTTGCCTACCCCTGCTATAGGGGGATTAAATGGATCCAGTACTTTAATAAAACTAATAAAACAAGACTTTTTCTCATCTATCTGTTTACAAAAACGAGAGGAAAATGGCTTGAAATGTATTTGCCATTGTATATATCTAAGGTCTCATACTGCTTATTTCCATTTGATTCTTACTCAGTGTACCAACCTTATGATTTAATTTAATCTACATACTCCCAGAAAAAGGGCTCAGTTTTTCATCACATGTGATAGAAATATAAAAATGTCTTCTGTGTCATTTACAAACATATGTTCTTTGATAAGAAGGGGTTATTGAAGTGTATGTTCTCATTATTGGACATGTGCTTTCCAAGCAACTTGTCCACACTCTACCACTAATATTCAGTGTAGGCCTAGGAAAGACTCCTATCAAAAGTCCTAAGGGCTCCTACATTACTAAATTAGATGGATAGCTTTGTTCCTAAGTTCCCAAATAATTGAAAAAAATCCTCTAATAATAAAAAAAAAAGCAGGAATCCACATGAATGGCAACGGCAGCACACTCTGAGATTTAAAAAAAGCATAAAGCCTCTGTTGCTAGAAACTGAAATTTCACATCCTATACATTTTACAGAATCCAGGAGCCTCCATTACAGATTATAAATATCCCATTTTTTTTAACTTATATTTTTTTCACATGTGTTGTCATTGCAGGTGGCAGACACTTGTTGGTGGAATTCTCTTACATGTTTCCTGGAAAATCGGCTGGATTGAGATCAGCAGCAGTTCAAGGTATAGATGAAAGTGCAGCATAAATAAATAAACCAATGTTAACTAATAGTCTCTGAAGTACAATATTTAGATTAATATCCAATGAGAGATATATTATTTTATCATATACTTTGATTGTATTCTGAAGTGGAATTTTTAGAAAAGACATTTTTTAAAAAATTGTTTTCGTTATTGGGATGTTTTATGTGCAATAAAACTAAAACAAAAGAGATTTGATCATGTCGTCCTTGCCACCTTGATACTTTTGACACATTTATCTATGACTTTTCTCCTACATTCGTGAAATTCATAATTCCTATTTGGATCAAATATGCTGCATGATATATGCATCATAGATGTTTTTCTACTACTAAAATTGCCATAAACATTGATTAGATTTCTCAATTCCACAAAAACCAGCTTTTGAATGTCAGATGCTATCTAGAGCTAAAAACACTAGCAAACATAACAACCCTGTTTCTTGAATGTCAGCAACATTCCAGTGAAAAACTCTTCACAACATTTATTAGTTTGGGTTATTATTTGATGAAGGCTGGGTTTCCAGGGAAAGAAAAATCAATTTTAATGTTAAATAAGATAAATTCATGCTGGCTACCTTAGAAATATGAAATTATTTTCAGCCAATTACTCAGATTTTTAAACATTATATAGGTAATAAGGGATTCATATTGATTCCTGTCAGCATTATCATTTTAGTTATACCTGAAAGTAAATATGGGTGGGTGTAGGTGGTTATTTATATGCAAATAAAACGCTAAATTGTGGCATAATTTTGTGCAGCAGATGTTTAACTTCTGTTCTCTTACCCTAGTACAATCTGTTTTAAAAAAGAAGCAGCAACATTGGATGTTTCCAGACTTTTATTAATAATCTCTTTTTCTTCCTCTTACAATTTTTTCATGTTTTTTCACTGGGTTTTTTTCATGCTTTGTTCCATGAAAAATACTGCAGTTTGAAATACCGTATGCACAATGCCTTTTGACTAGTGATATTTCAAACTATCCCAATCATTTTGTTCATCATTTGCTTTACTATATTTTTTTAGATTTGGAGCCATGAGTTTTACCCCACTAGATGTCAGTGTAATTTAAGCCAGAGAATAACGACTGTTATGCCATAGTTCAGTAATAAAAGCACCTATGTTCTATATATCTGAAAGGAAGAGGATATTTGTATACTATAAAAGTCAACATCATCACTTTTGATTAAATCTAAAGACAAATAAGCATGCAGACAATACATAAGAGGAGTTTTTCATTAGATTATCAAAAACGTTTTGAATTTTTTTTCAGGCTGTTACTTCTAGCATTGTGCAAAGTAGAGATACTTGACAAAATTCACTTCCTATCTCTGTGTTAAAGCAATCCTGTCTACCAAAAAAGGTCATAGACTTTCAATACAGGTGAAACTTGAAAAATTAGAATATCGTGCAAAAGTTCATTTATTTCAGTAATGCAACTTAAAAGGTGAACCTAATATATGAGATAGACTCATTACATGCAAAGCAAGATAGTTCAAGCCGTGATGTGTCATAACTGTGATGATTATGGCTTACAGCTCATGAAACCCCAAATCCACAATCTCAGAAAATTAGAATATTACATGCAATCAATAAAACAAGGATTGTACATAGAACAATATCGGACCTCTGAAAAGTATAAGCATGCATATGTACTCAGTACTTGGTTTGGGCCCCTTTTGCAGCAATTACTGCCTCAATGCGGCATGGCATGGAAGCTATCAGCCTGTGGCACTGCTGAGGNATTCAGAATTGAGTAAATTTTATGTAAACAATTGTTAATTTATTCCAAAATGTTAATATCAGTGTGAAGTAAATTCTAAAATGTATACTGTAAAGTACTCTATCTTCTATATTTCTGTCTGACAGTTACCAGCCTTCATAGTCTTGCCCCACAATCCCTCTGATTATCAACTGGATAATCCAATTCAAGAAGAATGAACATAGAAATGTCAAACATAATCACTGAGACAGTGCTTAAGTGATGAGTTCTTTCCTCTCTTCAACCATTTTGCCATTTGCTTTCTTCAAAATATGCTTTGCCTTTAGGGATGCTATGAATGAGGAATGGTTGTATCAGCCACTTTGGATTTCTCTTAGTTTCTTATTTCTGTTCATATTATATTTGATTAATTGAAATTATTTTTTCTGGATGGATTTTTTAAAAATATATGCAGTTGTTTTGTTTGTTTGTTTTTTAAAAACTAATATTGTATCTTTGTAGTTCTTTTCATGCATTTTGTATACTCTTTTATAACCCACAGTTTTATGCTTGTTGCTGAGCTGTAATGTGAAATTGGGAGAATTGTGAATTTTAAATTAATTTTCAGTTTAATTATCAACTTTTACATTACTAATTTTCTCTGTATTAATTGCAATAACATTGAAAACCATCATTTTATAATATAATTTATTTTCTATAAGTATAGCATGGATTGAAATATCCAAGAATTGAAAGTTTGCTTTGATATAGGTATATTCTTTGAAGCTTTTCTTTTCTATTCTGTTCCTCTGAATGGACAGGCAAAGAAGGCACCTTAAATAGTTTCTAAATGAATTTGGCTTTTAAGTTCATTAACAAAGGAAGCCTGAATTGCTTTTTGTTTGGATACTGCTTTTTTTATTGATGCTTTTGATTTTTTTCATTGAACAGTTATTGTCAAGTTTCATTGTGAAAAAGTAATAATAGAACTGCAGTTTTGATCTGTCATCCCCAAGTCACTGATACAGTGACCCTTTCTATTTGTGTAATATTACATATTTCTTCCTTACATGTTAAAAATATACAGCCCAGAGCTTCTACAGTCATTATAGCAGACTCCGATTTTCACCATTTGTATGATTTGGCCCATAAGAAGGATTGCTGCTAAAGCATTTCCTGTAGTTGTAGACATTCTTTCCAACCCTCTTGGCAGTACAGAATTCAGTTGTTACATCATGGGAACAACTTTTGTGCCCTTTTCCATTGCTTCTTATATGGCCAAGGATTCTTAAAACTTCACACTGTGGTCAGTGATCTCTATGGAGGTCTTGTTCTCAAGCCTGGTGCTTTATTTTTCTCCCAGCTCAGATGACTGAATATTTTAAGGAAGCATCTGATTGGATTTTACCAACAGTGTAATTGCTGTTGCTAGATTGGTCCTAAGGAAATTTATCTGGACCAATGTCCTTAAAAGGGATGATAATATTCAAACTTATGGTTAGCCTTATCTGGTTGTAGAGTATTAAGAGATTTCAGCATATGTTAATGAATAATTTGAACTATAAATCAGGTAGCAATCACTCAATTGGATTTATGCATAACCCTTGGATTTAAATCATATGTACTTTTGGTATGGTCAACAATTAAACATCAATCAAATGTTTTTATTTTATTGAAACAGTTTGCCCTTTTTTCTGACTATACTATAAGGTATTTTTTATAAATTGTTATTTGCTTCCACAGTATTCTTGAAAGTACATTTTAAGGCACTTTCAAAACATGATATCAATACTAATAAGGCCATTTGAATTCATTCACACTTTATGCACACACACACACATACTTATAATAATAAAGTAGTTATCAGAAAATGCAGACACGGATCAATGTGTTACTGAAGTATGCAGAGACCATACCTATTTGGATTTATTTTAACTATATATTTTATTCTCATCTAATCAAAGCAATGCTTGTATTTTTCTTTGGCTGAAATTATTTTTATTCAGGAAAAAAGGATGTCTTCTGTGGTTGTTCATAAATAGAATATGATGACATGAAAATATATGAAGGATGATGATAATGATTATTTGTTACAGGTCTGAAGTATTATCATGGCTTCCAGCTTCTGCACTTTTTGTGGGTATTATTTATTCAGGTTCCAGGGCCTTATCTAGATTGGTAAGATATGCAAATAGTATTTGGCATGCCTTTTTATTAATGTTTCACTACAAATGTCAATAAGATTGAACTAATTAATATTACCATAGTTAAAGACTACATGTAGAACATCGAAAATTGAATAGATAGTACTAGAAGTCATAACAGGGCTTACTGCACAAACAGTAAACAGTAAATTCCCTTTCTAATGCCCAATTCTGCAGAAAATCTGTGCAATTTGACTCCAGCTTTTGAATATGCGTGGCATGGATTAATATGAAAGATGTTCCTTCAGTCCCATATCACTCATAAAGTAGTGCCCCAAAGGCTGCTGCACCAATACATATAATAATTGTGAAAATAATTCCATCAATGAATTGGTCATTCTTTATTATTTGCTGGCCTTGAAATCAGTGTGTGATCTTAAGTAAAAACATAAATCTGTGCTACAAACCACTCATACAAGAATTGTGTACCAAGTTATGAAAACATGAACATCAACATTGGACTGGGCCCAAATTCCTGTCCTTCTCTTAATTCCTTTAACCCAGGGGTGTCAAACTGCTGCCCCGCAGGCCAGGTGCATCATGCCGAAACCGCGCCCACCCCATTGCCGGCAATGGAAAAAAAGTTGTGATACGTCGCAACACGTCACTTGACGTTGTGAGTTTGACACCCCTGCTTTAACCTTTTATTATCCCACCCATAAAAGGATTCAGACCAAGAAGCATCACAAAGGAGATTTCTGCAGTTGAAATATCACAGATTATATGGCATATGTTGGCTACTTGCTTCTCCTTTGTCTAAGAAGTGAGGTTTGTAATGAGATGGATCCTCATGTGGCTGAAATGAATTGATCAGATGATAGATTTGGAGAGATGGGAACCAAAGGATAGATTTGGAGAGATGGGAACTAAAATTGATTGGTCCAACATACTGAATTTCCTTTCCTAAAGCCTAAAAGGTCTAAAAATGACGATGAAAGACAATAAACATCTGGTGAAAGTTAGCTGAGCTGGGCAATCTGAGCCATAGTTGGCAGGAAAACACATTTCTCTTGGCCCTATGAAGAGCCAATAGCATTAGGGAGGTGAAAGGTGTATGTGTGTGTAAATGTGTTGATTTGGCTGCAGAAAAGGAAAAATATAAATTCTGATGTCAGATTTCCTAGGATAGCATTATTCTAGTGTTTCCTTTCATTGTGCACTAGTTCAAGAAACTTACGCTTAGCCATGGATCTTCCTTCTCTCTCAGCAACAAAAATGGCAACAAGCCCAGCAGTGGAGCTGTGAGCTGTTGTTTTTTTTCTTTTCTTTTCCTGCTTCTGGTGAAAGGCTTGTTATCTCTGTGCCTTGTTCACTTGTTTTCTTTTAATACTGGTTCTTACAAATTCCCAGGTAATTAAAATGAAACTTTTGTAGCTGCAATCTCTTAGATTTAGTCACCCTTGAGCATGTTCTGTATCTTCAGTTAACTTAGAATAACAGAAGAACAAATAAATTGTCTATTGAAAACATTTGCTAGAGTCAAAATATTGAAAAACACTTCAAAGAGACCTCATATATAAAAAGATTTTCTTATAAGTTAATTTGTCTAGAGTCTAGACTTTCAGTATTTCACACTTTCCATGTTTCCATTCCATTTTTGGAATAAGAAAATGAGTTATTAGGGAAAATCTGTGGTACTATATGTATACAATTCGCTCCCTCCATTTCAATAAGAATGGCCCTGTTGATGTAGTCACAACAATAACATCTCTTTCAAAGATGGAGGCAGGCCTATAACCACTGCAACTTTTCCTCCCATCAGGGATACCATGTGATAGCTCTGAGCATCAGGGCAATGTAAAGAAGTCTTTGCTTTCCTCTCTTCTAACTTAGATGTCTTCAAGTGTGTAGCAAACTTTTACAAACTGAAACTGAAGGAAAACTTCTGAGGGGGTCCTATCAAATGTCTGCTGTTAGTGCCATCAGATGGGCAGAAGGTGATGGGCAGCTTGATTTACAGTGTCTGCAATGCTAACTTTGTTGGTCCCATTTTCTTTCCTGGCAGCCAATTCCTATCTTTCTTACCTTACACAATGCTGCAGATGTTATATTTTATGGAGTGGAAGCCTTGGTGCAGAAAGAGGTATGGATAATTAATTAAATGGCCTTTATATCCCTGTATATCAGGTTTATCTAGACCCTTTGTTAACTATATTTTCTTAGGCTAAATATTTCAGATATTAATGCATGCACATATTAAATACAATACTTTTGCAAATTAATTTCAAATAATTTAATTCTTCTAGGAGATGGTATATTTACAGCAAACCTTTGAAGTTATGAGAGATGGAGAGAAAGAGAGAAAGCATGTGAAGGGAAAACTGTATATGATAAAAAAAAATTGTATTACTTAAATGTAAGCAGCTCGAAGTTATCTGCATATGAGTTGGACAGCCATATAAATTTGTTTAATAAAATAAATAAGTATTATTTTGAAGATTCATAAGTGATTTTGACAAAGCAAAGCTTATTTTGAGGAGGCCTTAGGTTGAAGCTATAAGAGTTGTATTTTAATCATGGCACTGCCTTATTCTCATATGCTTCTTGATATCTTCCACTCTCGTTTTCTTATTGGAGCCTTTTGTGCTGTCCACTCTTGAGTTTTCCAAACGATGCGGGTGTGGTAGTGCTTGAAAGAAGTTGACCTTGATTCAAGAAGTTTTTCTCTTTTTTTTTTCATCTGTCCAGCATCCTGAGGAACTGTTTCCCAGCTTGAAGTCTTTTTTGAAATCTTTATTGAGTAACTTAGAACAATCATAACTCTCTTTTTCATAATAATTCCTGAAATCCCTGGAATTTCCATAAAATCACCAGGAAGTGGTTGCCAAATCTTACACAAAATGTTTAATCTGGATTTGATGTCCACAGCACACACTTTATGGACATTTAATGATGTTTAATACTGATAATTATTTATATATAAAACATGTGTTGCATAAGTATAAACTTTTAAAGTATTTTATGGAACTATTTCTATTACCACAATGTGGGATAGATATAATCTTTGGAGGGGGATACATTCTCTTTCATTTATTTGGGTAGCTGGTGATAGAAAGTTTGCTACCAGCATTTGGAATAGTGATATATAGGATCTCTAGAGATTATTTTAAAAAGTTTATGAGATATATATGATCTATAGACAACTGAATGCCCAGTCCAGCATATTGGAGACACTGCTAAGGAAAAACAGCCTGAAATCTTTGAATAAGTGTTATCTTTGTATTAGTTACTCTCGCAGCTTAGCACATGTTCCTGGTTGTGAGGTAAAATATGTTTTATCCTTATATTACTGAAATCACAATAAATGAAATTCTATCAGAAAACAGGTGACATTCAAATGCATGGTAACGTTTTCTTTCATTAATCATGTTTTGAAGGTGGGTTTTTTGATATTATTGTGTTTTTTTTCTTAACAGCAGAACTCTGCCCTAAAACTCTGCAGGTAAGTTTCCAATGTTTGTTCAATGTGGATATGTATGGAATTCGACAGAGACAATACATGAACAGCTGATCCTCTATTTAATAAAGAGTTAGGAGTATTCATCGTATATTACATGGTAGGTTGTAATTAGTGCACGTTTGAATAATGCAGTATTCAATTTAGTGTGAATTGTAAATTGTTACCAGATCATGTTTAATGCAACTCAGAATTCAGTTAATGCAAGGTTAATGTGTGCTCAGTTGAGGCGAGCCCCTGTGCAATTGAGGTTGAAGTTGGGGTTCAGATGCTACTCATCTTCATGTGTGCAAAATGGAGAAAAGGAAGAAAATAGTACATTAGAATAGTATTTTTCAACCATGGCAAATTTAAACTGTGTACTTCAACTCCCAGAATTCCCCAACCAGCATAGCAAAGTGATAGAAGTATCACTTTGAATAGTGCAAATTTGAATAATACAACCATTTTCATAAAATTTATTAACTGAACTAATTATAATAATAATAATGGTAAAGTTGGAAGGGATCTTGGAGGTCATCTAGTCCAACCCCCTGCTCAGGCAGGAAACCCTATACCATTTTGGACAAATGGCTGTCCAGTTTCTTCTTAAAAACTTCCAGTGTTAGAGCATTCACCGCTTCTGGAGGCAGGTTGTTCCACTGGTTAATTGTTCTAACTGTCAGGAGGTTTCTCCTTAGTTCTAGGTTACTTCTCTCTTTGGTTAGTTTCCACCCGTTGCTTCTTGTCCTGCCTTCAGACTCTTTTGAAAATAGCTTGACTCCCTCGTCTTTGTGGCAGCCCCTGAGATATTGGAACACTGCTATCATGTCCCTCCTCGTCCTTCTCTTCGTTAAACTAGACATACCCAATTCCAGCAACCGTTCCTTATATGCTTTAGCCTCCAGTCCCCTAATCATCTTTGTTGCTCTTCTCTGTACTCTTTTTAGAGTCTCAACATCTTTTTTACATCGTGGTGACCAAAACTGGATGCAGTATTCCAAGTGTGGCCTTACCAAGGCATTGTAAAGTGGTATTAATACTTCACGTGATCTTGATTCTATCCCTCTGTTAATGCAGCCTAGCACTGTGTTGGCTTTTTTGGCAGCTGCAGCACACTGCTGGCTCCTATTTAAATGATTGTCCACTAGGACTCCGAGGTCCCTCTCACAGTTACTACTATTGAGCAAGGTACCCCCTATACTATACCTGTACATTTGGTTTTTCTTGCCTAAATGTAGAACCTTACTTTTTACTTTAATTGAAACCTACCTTATGTAGGTTGCAATGTATGTGGCATTTATTTAGTTAAACCTCAATCCTGTTAAAACCTATGACCAATGTACATAGTGTTTATAATTAAAAATACGATTGTTTAAAATATTATTGTTTCAGAACAGTCTTTTTTCAGGATTATAACTGGACTTCAATTTGCATTTGCATTTGTCAAGATTTGATAGGGTGGTTTAGTAATAAATCTTCTATTCTCTAATTATGTGATTACATTTAAGTAAGGAAAAATGTTTCAAACAACCTTGACAATTGTTTAGGTATGTTAAAGTATAAAAAACTATGATATAAATGTAGTGGAGAAAAAAGAATCTGTTGGAAACAGTTCTGCTGTAAAAAAAGTTCAAACTACTTTGAACTTTGTCAGCCTTTCCTAACTTTTTGTCCTATAGGAGTGGATTGTCAGGCCAGATAGAAATTATAGGAGTTTCATCTAATTTATCAAGAGAACAGTAGGGAAGAGAAAGCTCATTTAAGAAACCTTTGAGAATTCATTTGATTAGGATTTTATATATTTGTATATTTTCCTTAATACAATTAAAATTGAAAGCAATTTCAGGGAGGTTATTTTCCCGTGGGAATGGGTAAGAACCTGATTTCTCATAATCTCCAGGAACCCCTTAGAAAAAGGAAATGTATCACATATTTCCATCCCTATATATGATATCACTGGCACCTGTTGTTCATGCAAGAAATGTGAATGGGCCAACATGGAATGCCATAAAGCTATTACATCCCTGGGCCATATCTTCTTTTAGGATCATTGGACTCCTTTTCCTAATACTGATTTTGTAAGTTTGGCGGTTTGTCTGTAGGATAGTCAGACAAAAAAAATCATTTCATTTTAAAATAGGTCATTCTATCAAACAATTTAAAATTAGGGTTGTTTAGGAGCAGTGTTTATGTTAAATGAAAAAAACAGAGGCATCTAATCCCCTCTGTGCACTTATCGCCATTGTAATTGAACCCGTCCACCTTACTGGTTGTCTTCCACTTCTCCTTCTTTCCATCTTTCCCAGCATTAGAACCTTTTGGCATAATGTGTTCAAGGTAGGATAATTTCAGCCTGGTCATTTGTGCCTCAAGTGAGAACTCTAGATTGACTTGGTCAAATTGTTTTCTTGGCTATCTACAGTATTCTCAGGATCTTGTATAACACTAAATGTTCAAAGGTGTTCAAAGGCATCGATACTCTTCCTGTCCTTTTTCATCAAAGTCCAACTTTTGCTTCCACGTTTTAATGATGATACACAATAATAAATATGAGATGGAAGCCAGGCTGATTAAATTAGTACATTAGCACTTGTGTCTATGGAGATTCTCTTCCTCAGGGAAAAAAAACAGTCTAGTTACCGTTTGAAAGAGCAACTCTGAGGCATAAATTAGCACTCAAATATTTCTCTGATCAGCCATGAAGTCCCCTGGGGATTTTGGACCAGATTCAAAGGATTATTATGAGAATAAAAAAAATGGGGCAGGAATGACATATGTACTTTCTGATCTAGTGGAAGGAAGACTAAGAAATGTTAACATAAAAAATATATATTATTTTTAACCACAGTTTGAAATAGAAACATAATTTATTGGAATCTCTGGTGCTAAGTGCCCTTTTTATCTTTAATTGCAGAGTGCTGATTCTTTTGCTGGCCGCAGGGGGGCTTCCTTTCTATGACCCACAGGTTAGTTGTTTTCAAAGAAATCCTGAACTTGCTATGAAAAGCACAAACTCTCTTGTAATAGATGCCTGAAATAGTGACAGAATGAACTTCACTAAATGGTTTGAACTAAGGAATATTTTACCTAGAACAGAGTTTCTCAACTTTGGCAAGTTTAAAATGTCGGACTTCAATTCCCAGAGTTCTCCAGTCAGCATGCATGTTAGTCCATTGCATTTCAGGTATGCTGTAGAACAGTGGTTCTCAACCTTTTTAATGCTGCGACCCCCAACCGGTCGTAAGTTGAGGACTAAACTGGTCGTAAGTCGAGGACTAAACCGGTCGTAAGTCGAGGACTAAACCGGTCGTAAGTCGAGGACTACCCAACCGGTCGTAAGTCGAGGACTTTCCCTGCCTGGGAGCGCCGCGCATGCGTGGTTCCGCCCCCTGCGCCGGCCGAGGCGTAGCTGGCAAGCGGCAGAGACGGAGCAGGCTGACCACCAGCTGGCCCAGCTCAAGGGAGGTAAGGCACCCGCCGGAAAAGGGGAAAAAAATGGCGGACAGCCTTGCTTGGCGACCCCCGTGAAATGGTCAATTGACCCCAAATGGGGTTGCGACTCATAGGTTGAGAACCGCTGCTGTAGAACAAAGTAAGTCAATAAAAAGCAAATATATTTATGGCCCTTTAAGGATATTGCATATTGCAATAATAAGTTCAATAACTTCAAACATATGCAGAATATTATTTTTATTGGGTATTTTAAATTTCTCATTCACTGTGTATGATAATGCATGTGTTTTATAACCCACCTCTCTGAAATTGGATGCATTTTAATACAGTGTTCCTTAGCACCTCTCCATTTTATATCTTGTTGCAGTTTGAACAGTATGCCAAAACCAGTTTTGCACTTTCTTCAAAATTTTTGTTCTCTGTGACAGAAGGTTTTTTCTCTATCCTATTCTTAATTCATGAGAATTTCTTTAGAGTTACTTTTAGGAGTATTGTGGGCTTGTTTATTGGTAGATATGGCCAAAGATGAGATTGCTGTTTTTGCTTTTTCTATGAAAACTATAACATCGTTAGTGTGGTGAAGTGATACATAAAATGCTTTACTTATTAAAGTATTCCCACTGTAACAGTCACAACTGAAACAAGGACACTTTGATGTTTTATTTTGCAGTTTGATACAGATGGCTATTTTTGGGCTGTCATACACCTACTATGTGTTGGTAAGTTTTTAATAAATTAGCAAAAAAATAATTCAACTTTCTGGCCTACGCATAGCTCCTCTTTGCTATGAGTCTCAGTTTTCTGTCTTTACTCCATACAGTATCCAGTGGCTTACATAAGCACTGTCTTTGTTACTTTCTGCTGGAATAAAAAATCATGTAATAGAAACCTGTATGTCCTCTCCAATGGTCCATGTTTGATCCAACTTTACACTGAATTATATAGCATTGTGAAAATGGAAAAGTAAATTAACAGAATCAAGTGGGAAGATTGCAGAACAGAGAAAATTTTTTTTACAATTCTTTTAATTTCAGGATTAGGAAAAGAAATTTAATCTGTACTAGATAGGAAAAAAGATAGTTATAAATACAAAATGCAACCTAAGCTGAAATAACTTTGATGCTATAGAAGGTTTGGATTTTTATACAGGCAAGTAGATTTTAAACCATAGCTCTGTGTCTCCCTTTCTGAAATTGTTCCTTAGCTGTACCAGAGGATGCAAAATATATTAACACTCCAACTTCATGTTTTTTCTTTCACAGGTGCTTACAAAGTATTTTACAAGTTGTGGAAACCAAATTCTCTAAGGTGATTCATGTTTTTTTTCTGAATATGAAGTATTTATAATAACACTAGCTGGTCTGGAGAAGGAAAAAATATTATATTCTTTAGTTCTTTATATAATTAAGAAGGATTAATAAGGAGACAGAAGGAAGAAATTGATGGTTGTCTTTTGCAAGTATAGGTTAATTTTCCATAGTTTGATACCCTTGAGATGTATTGAAACAAAATTCTCAAAATTTCTTTGCCAGCTTATCCAGTAATAAATAGGTACCACTTTGGTGGGAAGGTAACTGCACTCTGAGATTTCATGTTGGCCACATGACCGCAGAAAAGTCTTCGGACAGCTTTGGCTTAATGGCCTTGAAAGGGAGATGAGCATCACCACCTATAGTCAGCAACAACTAGCGGAGTCAAATATGCAGGGACTCCTTTACCTTACTTTATCTATCCGGTAGTAGCTGAAAATTCTGGAAGTTACTTTTGGTCCCAACATATCTAGAAAAACCTGGTTTGAAAGAATAGCATTATTAGAAACAGATATAATGAATGTAAATATTGTTCAGTAGAAGATTCTTACCATTCATTATGGTAATTAAATAATCTCTAGAGCACAAAAAGTATGAGTAGATTTATTTATTTATAAACTTTATTGATTGCCTCAGTTCTGAGGGACTCCAGGCAGTGTACAGGTCTAACACATAATAACTGATACATAATTTGATGGAAAACAGTAACAATCTTTCTGACTTCATTAACTGCATACAACCAATCCCCACTCAAAGATATTCCAAAAATACCAAATTTATATTTGCCTCCAGGTAATGAGCATGGAAGCCACCTTTGCTTCTGGAGGCACCTTATTCCAAAAGAGGGGAGTCCGCACAAAGAACACCCTCCATCGAGCTCTTCCCTTTACACCTCATAATAGGAAGACACTTTCAACAGATGCATCCTGCTCATCCAGATCAGTTGTCCATCTCTCAAGCCAAAGTCAGTGGCAACAGAAAGTACAGTGATAAGACAGGCTCCATAAATAATTGGTTATTCCCTGAAAATATAATTGAAATATAGATACATAATTTACAGATGACTATATTTTTGAGTAAGGACAATCTCTGAAAAAGAATTGTCAATCTTTTTCTAATTCCATAGATCAATTAAACATCTCACTTTCTAGTATGAAGAAAAAAAATGCTGGTTTTAGATCAGAGTGTGAAAAATGTGTTGGAAAGCCTGATCTGTAGTTTTCTGGAACCAAGAACACTACTCGAGCAATTTCTGTCACCTTATCATAGAAATGATGGGAAGATAAGCTTGTTTAAACTTCTTGTTAGCTACCTACCATGAGTATTTAACTACCTTGGTGAAACATTTTCATCTCCAAGACAACTCTAGATGTCACACAATAAATATACAGTCAAGCTAACATGTATCTGTCAGATTAAAGGACCTGCCTAAATCAAACTCAAGAAATCTCGTAATTGAAAGAAAATAAAAGTTAATATCAAAAGTGTATGTTTGTATATATAATTATTTAAGGGGTAATTGACATTGTTTGACAGAGTTCTGACATTAAAGTAACTGACTTTTTTTTCCTTCTTAGTAACTCTGAACAACAATACATAAACTATGCATTCAGGTACATTATATCTTGATTAAGGAAAAATATGGAATGTTTACCATCCCTTCATAACTGTACATACATTAAGTTGAATGACTTTAATATCTATCATATTCATATTACTCATTCATCTTATTTAATGCTATTTTTTACTTAATTATATTTTGATGGAAACACCAAAGCAATTTTTCTATGCATTATCAGCTAGTTATAAAAAAAGAGTGAATTCTGAATTGAATGTGATATAATGTGATGCCCCAGAGCAGTCATGCTGCATTCCATGGAATCTATACTGAGAATCAAATGGACCTAGAAAATGGATATTTTTGTGTGTGTCAATATTCAGGAATGCTGCTTACATTTGCAAAAAATGTCTTTCTGCAACATTAGACTCACAAATATAGAAGCATGCTGTATTTATAGAATCCTGATACCCAGATGGATCAGAAAATAAGTCAAAGAGCCTACAGCCCCCTTGAGAATATTTTTAGATGAATTGAGGAAGGTCTCTGGAAGAGTCCTAGATTAAGGAAGTTATTGTAATAAATAATGGGTTATCTATTGGTATATTAAAATTACAAATTAATTATATCTTTTGTTTCTAGTGTGGTGATGTTGGCTTTTGCATCCCACCCAACAGGTAAAAATAACAACAATTATAATTGGTATATATGTGTGTGTGTGCATTTTTCAGACCTAGTGTTATTTCTTTATGTATGCTACCTCAGATGCTCTGATATTGCATGATTTGGGAGCTGCACATGCATAGCTTCTTCACTGCTAATATTGTTGTGAATATGTGCACATTAGAGTTTGATGTTGAGGCCGAGGAATGCAGCTCAGCATGTGAAGGAGAGTCTGAAAAATGAAATTGTTCATCATTGCATCTCAACTGACAAATAACACTTAATGCTCACTTTATGAATCAGAATTGTCTACTGTGTTTGATTACAGCATTTTAGAGGCCCACTCCTCAGGGTCTTACAGTGGTGTCAGCCCTTGTTGCCCTCTAGCATGGCTCCTGTCTGCCTACAGAATAGCAATTCCAAGTCTTTTCCTTTATGCTGAATACTACTTCACCATCAAGAGTTTTGGGAAACATTGTAGATCATTTCAAGGCAAAAGGATAGATTTCTTTCTGTTGATGGTCTACAAAGGAGAGAGTTCAGCTTTGCCAGTAAAGTACTTTTACTTCTAGCATGCTATAAAACAGAATTTAGTCTTTTAATTTTGATCTCCAAAGATTGTAAAATAAAACAACTTGCAGAATATACAGCATTCAAATTTTGTGTAAACTGGGAGACAGTGAGTTCTAGTTTCTCCTTAGGCACAAAGCCTGCTGGGTAACCTTGGGCTGGCTATATTCTCTTAGCCCTAGGAAGGAGACAATGGCAAACCATTTCTGAAAAAGAAAACCTCATGGACTTGTCAGGGCACTCTCTGAGAACTGAATATGATTAAATGGAAAAAAAGACAGGTCTTTAGTTTACAATTGCTATGGTTTTTAGCCAACAACATTGAACTAGAAGACCTCCAAGGTCCCTTCCAACTCTGTTATTCGGTTATCCAAAAAACAAGCTAGCTATTGTGAGGTGGTCTTCTCTCCAGAATCTGCATGTCCCAGAGTCCCTCAAATGTTAGGACAGGCCATTTTAAAGAAAACACAGAGTTGGGAATCAGCAATCTCCCCCCCCAAAAGTGGGCAAGCCTTTATTTACCCCCTGATTCTCCCAGATGAAGAAAAAATGATAACACAGGCAGGTGAAAAATAAATCAACTTCTAGCCTTTTCAATAAACTCTTATACTTATTCCTAATTTTCCCCTATGATTAATGTTTGCTGGTCTGCTATTTAGGGGAAGATAATGAAAAACGTCTGTAAATCTTGTAGGATCTTATAACAAGTAGTCCTCGATTTAACAACTATTCATCCAGTGATTATTCAAAATTACAATGGCCCTGAAAAAAGTGATTTATGACCATTTTTCACACTTATGACTGTTGCAGCATTCACATGGTCACATGATCAAAATTTGGACACTTGGCATGTATTTATGATGGTTGCAGTGTACAGGGTCATGTGATCACCTTTTGACAAGCAAAATCAATGGGTAAGCTGGATTTACTTAACAACTGTGTTACTAACTTAACAACTTCAGTGATTCACTTAACAATTGTGGCAAGAAACTCATGGGGCAAAACTCATTTAACAACTGTCTTGCTTAAGCAATGGAAATGTTGGAGTCAAGGACTACCTGTGTTTTTCAAGACCACAAAAATCTCTGATTTTTAGGAGCTGGAATACATTTAACATACAATGCACCTCTTTTTGTGCAATGTATTCTCAGATGCAACTTAACAGGTTCCTCTTTTATGAAATCCTGAAATGGAAATCCAGTTGCTATCTTCTCCCTCTCTCCCTTTGCTGTTTCTTCTCTTCACAACAATTCAGTTATGGAGGGAAATAGTCAATGCTTGCAAATATTTCCTGCAGCATCGTATGGAGCAATATATATATATATAGCCAGCGGAAAACAAATTATTCCCTGAACAACCATGATTATAAATGGGAGTCTTGCTCATGAATTTCCATGGAAAATACAAACATTTTTAAAGTAGAAACATGCTCCTTAAATGGCATTCTTCCCTTTTTTTACAACCTGATTTCAGACTGATGAGAAAGAGAATGAAATGTTGTAAGTGCAGTGGCAAATTGTTGAAGTGATAAAAATCATGTTAAAACCAAAAATAAGTAATATAATTCCAGTGTTAAAATGTTGTGTTCCTCTATTCCAGTGATGGCGAACCTTTTAGAGACCGAGTGCCCAAACTGCAACCCAAAACCCACTTATGCATGGTCGGGTGCCAGGTGGGTGTGGTCCATTGGGTGGGTGTGGCCCATTGGGTGGGCGTGGCTGTGGTGGTAACAGCAGACTGGGTGGGACTAAAAAGTTCAATCAATCAATTCCAACTTTGCAAGATCTTTTTTTTCCCCGCGAGAAGTTGAAATTGACTGATTGATTGAACCTTTTTTTTTTTGTACACGGCAGCAGAGGCCTAAAGTGAAAAGGTTTTATAAAACCCAGCTGAAGGCCTAGGACTGGGGCAACAGCACGCATGCCCACAGAGAGGGCTCTGAGTGCCGCCTCTGGCACCCGTGCCATAGGTTCGCCATCACTGCTCTATTCTGTCCATTTTTCAACAGGGCAACCAAATACTGGTGCCAATTTTTTTTAAACTAAAAATATGATTTTATTTCTTAGGTGATCTCTTCAGTGCCTTGGAATTTCCACTCCTGTACTTTTACATCTTTCACAGCAGTTGCCTTGCCAGGTAACTTTTCAGGATACAAGCCAGACCTTATGATATACGTGGGAAACAAACTACTATATTTTTGATGAGCTGTTAAAGGTGTTTCTTTTTTTCTAGGCTCAAGTATGGTCGTAAGCATTCAATTATTGGTCCACAATGATGCATCATACTAATCTGAAATTTAACCAAATGTTTTCTTCAAAATATGCCAAACATTATAATGTGAATAAACTATAGGATTATTTGCAGCAAAAGGCTGCATAAATTTTTGGTGGGGAATTATACAAATTATAGTGCAGCACTCATGAAAGGCACCAACACAGGAGAAGTTCATTCAAGTGAATTAGACCAAAATCCCAACACGTGTCTGTTCAGAAGTCAGTTCATTTAATGTTACCCACAGGATGCACTCTAAATGTTAATTTTTAAATCATTTTGCCCCTTCACTCAGTTTGGTTGAAGTAAGCTTCTAAAAGGTATTCTTGCTAGATTGAACCAACTGTTAGTAATATTTTAAAGGGTCCTCAAGATTTCTCGGCTGATATCTCCATCTCTGACATTGTTAAAGCATTCTTCAGATAGCTTTTGAGTTAAAAATAAGTTTATTAATCCTGATGGCAAATGGGACCAGAATTTTTGTTGCTAAGCAGTAGGTTGTAAAGTGCAATATTACGTGACTGCATCACTTAATGATGGCAATCCTGCAGTCCTGGTGCTGTCATAACCCTAGGGCTGTGTGGGTCATTAAGAGAGAAGAAGCCAGAGTCCTAAACAAGCATGCCAGTGGGTGCACAAGTGTTGCTGGTGGGGGAGGATGGATATTGCAGGCAGGCTCTGAGTGCAGGTGGGCTGCAGATACTGCAGGGGATGCCAGAAGCAGGCCCTATGGAGTGCAGGTAGGTAAAAAACCAGGGGACCAACATCCAACTTCTTACCAGCTTCCTCATTGACTTTGCTTGGGGGAAGCCAGCAGGGAATGTCGAAAATTATGAAATGACTGTGCTTCACTACATTGTTGTAATTGCAAGTTGGGCACAGAGTACCTGAATTGCAATCAAGTGACTATTGGGACAATGTGACAGCCCCAGCTTTGCAGACAGGTCACAAGTCCCACTCATTTATTGCCATCATAATTTTGAATGATCACTGAACGAGTGGTTGTAACTCAAAGACTACCTTTATTTTGAGCATAGAAGCATACCATCACATTTGTATTTTGGCCCTTTTTCACTGAGATGGTTTAGAGCAGCAGTCCCCAACCTTTCTGGTTCTGTATACTGGTGGCAGGGGGAGTGATGGTTTCGTGTGCGCCACTTAAACAAATGCAGCTTTGTGCACTTGCCTGCTGGTTCCCAATGGACTGTGGACCAGTACTGGGCCGTGGACTGGGGATTGAGGACCCCTGGATTAGAGGACATGATTTTAACATTACAAGAATTGCCTCCTGAAAAATAGTGACTTTCTAAAACAGGGGTCTCCAACCCCTGGTCCGTGGACTGGCACCGGGCCGCGCAAACAAGCAAAGCCCCATCTGCGGGATGCAGGCAGTACATGAAACCACACCCCCTCCGGTCCATGGAAAAACCTCTCTCCGCGGAATCTGTCCCTGGTGCCCAATAGGTTAGGGACTTCTGCTCTAAAATGAGCTGAATAGCTGAATAAGATTTAAAAATGGGCAGACTACTGTATTCTGTACAGAATCCTGGTGCAGAATTTGTCCCCATCAAACAAAGCATCTTTAAGCAAAGTTCTGGCACTAGGATGCTCCGGCCAGCAAAAAGGAAGAGCAATTTTTGTTGATTGGGCTTTCTTCTTGTAACCTAATTTCTCCCACCACAGTCTGTTCCAGAATTAGAATGGTACTGCAAAGGAGAATGAATTGGAGGAAATTCCTCGTCCTGCCTTCCTTGATGGGATTCTTTATGGAATCTAAAGCATCTTTCCCTAACATGGTGCCAAAGGCAATGCTGGCTGGGAATTATGGGAAATAATATCTAATATATCTGGAAGACACCATATTGGGAAAGCTGATTTAAAGCTTTCCATATGTGATGAAAAAGTGTTAGCAAATTAGGGTTGTTTGCTGCTTATCTCTAAAAAACATTAACTTGTTTTTTAAGGATCTTATTTGAACACAAAACCTCAACTAATGCATTTTTCTACTACTCACCACAGTGGACTTCTGGGATTTCTTCTGACTTTACATACTATGAAACTTAAAAGCAGCAGCTCCTCAGGACAATATATAACTTGGAATTTCTTAGCAAAGGTAAGATGATTACTATTCTATTACTCAAAAATTTAAGTGAACATTTTCTTTAGTTTAGTCATTACAATGTTAATAACCTAAAGTTCTATTATTTGTTTTCTATAATGTAATAAAACAATAGTCTTTTCTTACTATGTAATTCCTTCACAGATTTGATCAAACTATATATAGATCTTCCACAAAGATGCTTTGTGTATTTTTTTAAATTACTGTTATTTTTGAGATCTCATAGAACAGAATTTCTACCTACCACATTTTATCATATTTTTCTACCTATTACTTGATAAGATAGAAAAATGTGGGTTAAACACCATCACCACCAGATGGATTTGCAGCAGGATGACCACCCATACTCAGCATGTGGTCCTCAATGGAACTGCATCTACATGGAGGGAAGTGTGTAGTGGGGTTCCCTAGGCCTCTGTTCTGGGCCCAGTGCTCTTCAACATCTTCATCAATGATTTGGATGAGGGGATAGATGGGGAACTCATCAAATTTGAAGACGACACCAAGCTGGCAGGAATAGCCAACACTCCAGAAGATAGGCTTAAGATACAGAAGGATCTTGACAGACTTCAACATTGGGCGCTATCTAACAAAATGAAATTCAATGGAGAAAAAAGTAAAGTTCTACATTTAGGCAAGAAAAACCAAATGCACAGGTATAGTATAGGTGGTATCTTGCTCAATAGTAACTGTGAGAGGGATCTCGGAGAGGACTGGAGGCTAAAACATAAAAAATGGTTGCTGAAATTGGGTATGTCTAGTTTAATGAAGAGAAGGACTAGGGGTGACATGATAGCAGTGTTTCAATATCTGAGGGGTTGCCACAAAGAGGGAGTCAAGCTATTCTCCAAAGCACCTGAAGGCAGGACAAGAAGAAACGGATAAAAACTAACCAAAGAGAGAAGCAAAACTAACCAAAGAGAGAACTAAAGAGAACTTTCCTGACAGAACAAATAATCAGTGGAACAACCTGTCTCCAGAAGTTATGAATGCTCCAACACTGAACGTTTTTAAGAAGAGACTGGACAACCATTTGTCTGAAATGGTATAGCATTTCCTGCCTGAGCAGGGGGTTGGATAGAAGACCTCCAAGGTTCCTTTCAACTCTATTATTATTATTGTTGTTATTATTACATAATTAAGATTTTCCCCAAAGCCAAAAAAAATGAGTTTTCTTTGAAATCCACATTACTGGTATTATTACATTGGAAATCACAGCCATATTTCTGCAGCCATTGGGAGTAGTGAGTTTTTTTTTTAAATCATGGAGGGTGGAAATTCTCACTGCACCCCCGCCAGCATCTTTATTCAATTTCAGTATTTCATTTCCATATGAAACGAAAGGGCATTGCAAGTCTTTACTATAAGTTCTTCAACCTCTATATCAGGGGTCTTCAAACTTGGCCCTTTTATGACTTGTGGACTTCAACTCCCAGAATTCCTCAGCCAGGCACACCTGGTTGAGGAATTCTAGGACTTGAAGTCTACAAGTCATAAAAGGGCCAAGTTTGAAGACCCCTGCTGACTCTTAACTTTGTAACATGTGGCTTTTCTTCCATTCTAGTTATGTGTAATATTATTGTATAAAATGCTGAAATGTATAAAGCATCTTCCTACCATCACTCAGAATGCTGAGCATCATTAATAATGCCAAAAAAATGTACATAGATTTGCTGCTAAGCTAGCATTCATAAAGCTTAGTAGAAAGTATTCTGCATGTAGATTTACTGCTATGTTATCACAAAGCTGATATATGCAGGAATATTTGGTTATTTCTTTTTAGTAATTAGTCTTGCCTCATTATGACTTTCATATAGCTGCCTCTCAGATTTTTTCCCCCAAACACCTAAGCAAATGTGGTCAAATACATACAGAGATAATATAAGGACTGGTGGTAGAGGAGAAGGCCAGCAGATTCCTTTATTTTTCTGGTGGGGGGGAGGGGATTTTTGTTCATTCATGATCCAGGCAAGCTTATTGTGAGCACAATATACAGGGGGCACAAAAATACCTATTGTCCAAGGATTGCCTGACATTTTCTTCAATCAAAAATGGTTTAGGCCAGTGGTTCTCAACCTTTTTAATGCCGCGACCCCAACCAGTCGTAAGTTGAGGACTAAACCGGTCTTAAGTTGAGGACTAAACCGGTCGTAAGTTGAGGACTACCCAACCGGTCGAGGACTTTCCCTGTCCGGGAGCGCCGCGCATGCGTGGTTCCACCCCCTGCGCTGGCCGAGGCGTAGCTGGCAAGCGGCAGAGATGGAGCAGGCCGACCATCAGCTGGCCCAGCCCAAGGGAGGTAAGGCACCAGCCGGAAAAGGGGGGAAAAAATGGCGGACAAAAAAAAATGGCGGACAGCCTTGCTTGGCGACCCCTGTGAAATGGTCGATTGACCCCAAATGGTGTCCCGACCCACAGGTTGAGAACCACTGGTTTAGGCAAATATAGATATTCCTCATGATTATAACAGAAAAAGGTAAAGGCAACAGTAACTGATTCCATTCAATGATGTGTTGAAAAGGTCACTGTGGTCTATGAATATAACATTGGTCCTAAGGTACTGTATATCCAAAGCCAACGTTCAACTTTCATACAATTTTAATACCTGAAGAAGACGTAGAGTATAGAGTATTGATACAAAGGACTTGTTGCAGCTATAAATGCAGACTTTCTGCTTGTTTCCATAGAGATGACATGATAATAACTTTGAGGCATCCAGCACTAATTATCCAGTATTCAAATTGATGCAGAGTCCTCAAACTAATCTTGATAACACTTGTATTTTATATAATTCTACTTCTTTTTTTAATGCTGATGTGCCCTTGGTATGCAAAAGTACAATTTCTCTCATGAGATTAAAACTATCAAAATGAGCTATTGCAGTTAAAACCTATAGAAAAACAATCTAAGGAAGAATGTGATAACTGCAATACGGGATATATTTCATCCTTGTCTTAATACTGCCTTGTTTACCTTGATATAAATTAGAGTTGCAATCAGTTTGTCCACACTGGTCATTCTCACACATGTCAATCATTGTAGACATAATGAAGAACATGATCTGAAGGCATTATGATCTTGCTGAAGCTAAGATGGTTTGGAAGACCTATTAGGAACCTTCCTTTCTTACCATGAACTCTACAACAGAAGACCAACAGAATCAAAATATAAAAAATAGTAACAGTGAAAATAGCAATCCTGTCCTTTCCAACATCATGCAACCAGGAGCTACTGAACTTTTTTTCCTTTCTGGTTACATGTCAGATTATTGTATAAAATATTGAAAAGTATAGAACATTGCCAAGTTACCCATAATTGTAACATTATTGCATTATTTGTAATGAGTCTTCCTCTTTACCATTTCAAACGTTATTTCTGCTTCTAATGAAGGACTGGAGGCTAAAACATATAAGGAACGGTTGCTGGAATTGGGTATGTCTAGTTTAACAAAGAGAAGGACGAGGGGGGACATGATAGCAGTGTTCCAATATCTCAGAGGCTGCCACAAAGAAGAGGGAGTCAAGCTATTTTCCAAAGCGCCTGAAGGCAGGACAAGGAGCAACGGGTGGAAGCTAACCAAAAGAGAGAAGCAACCTAGAACTAAGGAGAAACTTCCTGACAGTTAGAACAATTAACCAGTGGAACAACCTGCCTCCAGAAGCGGTGAATGCACCAACACTGGAAGTTTTTAAGAAGAAACTGGACAGCCATTTGTCCAAAATGGTATAGAGTTTCCTGCCTGAGCAGGGGGTTAGACTAGATGACCTCCAAGGTCCCTTCCAACTTTATCATTATTATTATAATATGAGTTCCAGAATTAAGAGAATTATTCTCTGTATAATAGCTTCTTTCCTGTGCCCACCTTGGGAAGCCAAGGTTTTTATTTAGTCTTTCCCTTAAGCTATTTATAGTCATTTGGTATAAGCTGAACAATGATTCATGGAGATAGTAAAGGGAAAAAAATAACAAGAATTGGTCTGGAAATAATTTGTAAACAAATATGCCAGATGATTGAATGTGAACAAATGTTCAGATTTAGACTTTACATTCTTATTCAGTGCAATAACCTAGAGTTTCTTTCAGGATAGCTTGGTTTCAGGTTTGTCCTTGGTACCAAATCTTATCTGATAACTTCTCCTTATTTCCTGTTTCTTGGTGTAATTCTAGTTGGAAAAAATAGGGGTTGGTAGGGTGAGTAAAAGCTATGGGACAGGGAAGATAATGGGAGAAATATAAGCCAGAACAAGGAAAAGACAGTCATTTCTGTGTTAGTTCTCCTTTGAGTCCTTGGAGAAACCTATAATATTGCCAGGACTGTGTAAGGAGAAGTCAAATGGGTTAAAAAAAATAGCTGGCTTTTTAAACATAAAACAACCATGCTGAGCAAACTGACTTAGCATACATGATCCAGAAACGTAGGCTGCCAAAAAAGTTGACATTAATTTATCCCAGCTGTATTTACCACATTGCTTGGTACAGCTGCCTATAATACCTAAATGTCAAACAGGCCTGGTAGCACCTTGAAAACTAATTTATTATTATATAAGTTTAACGGATCACAGCAATTGTGATACACAACAGGTAATGCAGTAATAAATTGAGTAGACGTTAACAAATTTGCTTTTCCAACCAAAAAGAATTATACTTGACTGATGTTTCCTCTTTGGAGTTAGCTATCAAAGAAATTATACAAAGGGTCAGTTCCACATTACAGGCGCATAACCTATGAAGGGTCTCAGTGCTGGAAAGGAAGCGTTCAAGATCTTAAGCTTGCTCCAGGCTCAGGAGAAATTTAGACCAGCTGTTTATTTGCAGTGGAAGACCTTAAAAATAACAACTAGGTAAGAAATGGATGGATCAGAGTTCTCTAACATAGAGCTACCATTGCCAATCTTTTTGTGGAAAAATGAAGCATAACACAACTCCCATTCCTTCCTTTTTGCTTTTCCATTACATCATCTGAGAAACAGCAGACATACTGCAAAAGTGACAGAATTAAAAAATTTAGCTGTGGGGACAAATGAAACAGGATCAGCAAAGCTGTTCATTTTGTTCTTTATTTAAATCAGGCTTAGGAACATTTTTTATTTTTTTTGCTTTTTATAATATCTCAATGATAGCCTGAAATTTAAATTAGAAATGGAAAATAAGCATAAATAACAATCTTTAATGCACAGCAGTATTTGAAAGAACAACAGAGGCATAATGTAAATATTGTTTTTTTAATTAAATGCTGTAAGCTACCCAAAGTCACTTTCATGTGAGATGGGTGGCTATACAAATATGATTAAATAAATAACAATTAACAGAAATGTTCTTTTTTGCAATGAAATTAAGCAAATAGAGTTTTCTTGTGCTGCTCCAAGTGCCACTATCTTCCCAAGTATTGCTAAACAATATCAATTTGTCAATGTTTTATTTAGTCAAAGCTTTTGAGTGTTAGTATTGGTGACTTAATGTGGAGTCTTTCCTCTTTCCTCATTCACACCTAACTATGGCACAGATGTGGTTTTTGCAATCAAGACGCCTGCCAGACACTTGTTGCCACTGCATGTCTTTAAGTCTATTTTTCTGTTTACAACATGTGCACACATATACAAGATGCTTGCATAATTCTTGCCTTTGTTAGAGTTTTTTAAAAATGAAATCAGTCCTTTCATGCTACCTGTAACTCAGAGAAAAGAAAATTCAGAATTTATTTTCCCCCCTCCACTTTCTACCGTTGGCAAAGTGCCTTACTTTAATTTCCCAATTTATTAATTTTAATAAATTTTAAATATTATATTTGATCTTAACTTCAATCTAAATTTTATCTGCCGGTCCAGTTTTAGTCTGTTGTAATCAGTTTTACTTGATTTTATGTGTTTTTTCTAATTGTAGCCTGAACCTCTGAATCTCCCCTTAGGAGTTTTCTGTAGTGAAATTGATAATATTACGGACTTGAAACACTTTGGATTTGGCAGGTAATTGGAGCCATGATTGCTCACAAAAAACATTATAAAACCTGTCAGAAAAAAACAATTTTTGTGAGAAAATAGCATCTGTCCTTGGCAGTGGTTCAGTGAATGTAGGTTCTTTGCAATCTGACTTTGGGGACTAGATAATGACTGAGAAAATATATTATAGTTTATTGACACAAAAAAAAATCACATCATATCAAAATGCTAAAGCCTGTGATGTCCAGGACTCATTTAGTTGTTATACTTTGAACCTCTAGCAGTTGGTATTTTTTTCTTTTCTTTATACAAAAATTGAAGAAATTCATGCTTGTATTTTAATCTAAATGTAAAGAAAGACATGAGGAAGCAGATATAAAAATACCAAAAATCCGTGTTTTTTTTAATGCACCGTTATCATTTATTTTATGATCCATGAAGATTGTTTTTTTTTAAAAAAAAATTGAATTCAACTTTTGGTTGATTCATTATTTTAAAGTGTATTAGATTTAAATTGAGTGTACAAATCAATGTTTAAAAACACATGTGTCTCTGTTTTCAATCTTGTACCTTAAAAGAAATGATGCAAAAGGAAAATGGGATGGTGGGGGGGGGAATCCCATTCTTATAGTTTTTATATGTAGTGATTAGCTGCGATGGAAGTTATTCAAATGAGAGAGATCTTAAAAGGGCTAATGAGTGGGCTGCCTTTACACTCCCTATGCTTAAAATAAACCACATTCAAACAAGGCAGTGTTGCTGTATAAAGTATTCAAGATTCTGACCACTTAATTCTATTTTCTGACCTGAGTTTTTTGGCTATTTTAAGGGATTTTTTCCATACGTCCTCCCGCCCCTCAATTATTTGTGTATCTCCAATACATTGTGATATGTATATGTATATGTGTATCTCCAATACACTGTGATATGTATATGTACAACGCCATGACAGTCGTCCTCCCTTCACCCTTGTATTCCAAATTCCATAGACTCTGAAAAATATCATTACAGGACATTCCTAAGGGACAGGAATTAAGATGCTTTGCAAGCAGACAATTTAAAAAATGGCATTCCATCAGTGCCTTGGTTCCCTGGAGACTGTTTAAAAAATCCTTCCACAAAAGGGAAATTAAATAAATTTATAACACGTGAACACACATTTTCAGTACTAGTTATGCACATTTGGTTTTTGTAAAAGGAAATGAAGTCCAAGTGGTTGCTATGAGAGGAACCTTTCCTACTCAAAATTTCTGGTATTGTGAAGGTGAAAAGATACCCTGTCAGTTTTGGCAATTTGGCACTTTTTACAATGGTTGAAATCAGTGTTTCTCCTCTTCACTGACTTTAAGATGGATAGACTTCAATTCCCAGAATCCCCCAGCTCAGCATGAAGTTGATGAGGGAGACAAACACTGGCTTAAACTATGCTGTTTTTTGTTGCAGCAGGAGTGGAGGACTGCAGCAGGAATTACTTTCTGGGGCATTGGTGAAATTGTCATGAATTTCTGTCCTTCCTTTGACAGAGAGCTAGCTGGTTACAAAAGGCCTTACCATTGCTTTACTTGTTTTCTCTTCTTCCTTGCCTTGCAATGGAAGGTTCTGAGATAAATCATCTAAACTGAAATTGGGGGAGGGAAAGAAGCAGTGGTGGGATTCAGCCAGTTCGCATCAGTTTGGCAGAACCGGTAGCTAATTTTTTGTTGACCAGGCCCAGAATGGACTTCCAGAAGCGGTTGTTCGCATATTTGAATCCCACCACTGGAAAGAAGGTTAACTTTTGCCTGAACTGCAGGATGCAGGACAGAGGTCCTCAACCTATGGGCCACGGCCCACTACTGGGCTGTGGCCTCTTGGCCACCGGGCTGTGTGAGTAGCTGGGCAGTGCATGTGCATGCGTGCTCACTCCCCCTCGTGCCATCTTTGTGTAAGTGTTCGGGCAGTGGCAGCACGGCTAGTATCGCGCGGGCAGCGGCGTTGCCATGAACCTTGTGCGGGCGGCGGCAACAGGCAGGGGTGGCAGTGCAATCCTCGCGCCAGTGGCAGCATCACTGTGGGCCGTGCCACAAGCTTTCCACAGGCACGTCATTGAGCCTCGCGTGCATGCTTAGCCCCGTTTGTGTGGTGCACATGCTCGTGGCCTGTTTGTGCACATGCACACACTTGTGGCCACATTCACATTTGCGCATGTGTGCGTAAGATGCCTGCCCCTTCCTCTCCCAGCGGGCCACCAACCCAGAAAGGTTGGGGACCCCTGATCTAGGAGATGGGTTGAAACTAGTGTTCCCACTGGCTCAGCATTTCACATGTTGCAAAAGGAAATACTGTACTAGCTTTGCTGCTGTACCAGATACACTGCAGCCAGGGCGGAAGTGTAGCAGTTCAGTTTTCCATCAGGACTGACAGCATGAGATCACACAGATCAAAGATCACCAAGCTTGTGTAGGGGAACTGCTGCTTGGTTATCTGGAAGAGCAGTTTCTTGGTTCTGTGGTTAGTTGGATTATTAGAACACATTTCTGAAACTTGAGTCTCATCTTTTGAAATGGTACACTCCTCCAAATCATAATACAGGCAGTCCTAGTTTAGCGACTACCCTATTTAGTGACCATTCACAGTTATAACACTAATAAACAAATTACTTCACCAATCTTCACAATTGCAACTTCTTGAGATCTATAAAGCAAAGAAAAACTGAAGTCAAACTGTAAACATAGTTGCAGTTTCATTTAGAGACTGCTTTGCTTAATGACTCAGATACTCAACCCAATTATGGTCGTATGAAGACACCTGTAATAATAATACATTATAGTTCATTCAATACAAGATTTCTCTTGTGAGATTTTTTTCTCTCCTCAAAAAGATGACCCAGGCTACCTTAAGGTCAAAGACACTTTCTCAGGGAACCCCAAATGCATTTGATGGTGACAAAAAAATGTTAAGACTAGATGAGGTTTTCAAATGATCCAGCAGGACTCGTATGTTCTTACAAAACTGCCCAAGGAATCTGAGAAAAGTGCTAATATATATTTAAAAACCCTTTGAAATAAAGATATTGTCCTCACTCTCTTTGGATTAGGGATGTCCACAGGGTATCTGCCACATTTAAGCATCAATTGCATCATGTAATTGTCTTGACTTTTTCGACCACACCCTGAGTACACCTCTGCCCTAGCCCTTTGTAAGTTCTTGGGGTTAATTAAAAGATTATTGCAACAACGAGCTTTCTGTCTCATTGTCTTTCTAGGTTATCACAGCTGGTCTGTCACCATTCTTCTTTGAAATTGCAGTGAATGTACCAACTGCCTGCTGGTATGTATTTTAGACAGAGGATTGTGGTTATTTAAAATGTTCTTGAATTTTTAAGTCATCTTCCTTAGTTTCGTCTGACTTGGTCATTTTTGCCAAACCACAGAGTTAAGCTGCAAAGAACATTTTATAAAACTAGAGAAGGGTGTATTGAACTGATGCTGTACATTATAACAGGACCTACTTTAAAATAAAAGCACCAAGAGTACCAGCAATACGCCTCCACTGGTTAGCCAAAGGAAATAGGGAAGCTATGCTGTTTAGCGGAGAAACTCCACTGACCTTGTATGTCAGAGATGGATAAGCTATGCCCACATGCCTCCCTGGTCTCTCTTTTTACTACTTGTCCTTTTCTCCTGCTGCTGCCCCAGCTATCCTGACACTTCAGAGGATAAGAGTCACAATGGGCCTCCAATGAATGGCTGTAGGTTTAAAGTGGTGTTGTCTGCTCTGAAATGATGAACATGGGTACTCCCGCTTACATGAGAATAACTCCCATTAATTTTAATAGGCCTTTTTTAGCAATCAAAGCACATAAATTATATCTGGTATGGAAAAAGAGAGCCAGTTTGGTTTAATGGTTAACATACCAGACTACTAGAAATTAGGAGCTTTAGACCTGCCTTAGGCACAAAGCCAGGTAGGTGACCTTGGGCCAGTTACTCTCTCCCAGCCCTAGGAAAGAGGCTATGCAAACCACTTCCAAACTCTTGCCAAGAAAACTGCAAGTAGTTCCCACGAGTCAAGACTGACTTGAAGACACCAAAACAAACAAAAATTGAAAAAAGAAAAAGAGAACTTTCTTGATATAAACCATAACTGTTAGTAGTTATGACAGCAAAGACAAGGCAACAGAAAATTACTTTTTGGAATACAGTTCTGCACAATGAGATGACAGGTACTACCTTAAATAGGAAATTGGTTAAATCCATGGACAAAGAGCTTTGATTAGTCACCATGACTACTCCTTGGAACCCTTTTCCAGATATAATAAGGGACAAAATAAATTATTCTGTTAGACTTGATGGGTTGACCCAGAAGGAATCATTTTATGTTCAGATGGCTCATGAACCTGTGAAGGGTCATTAATTTCTACCTCAGTCAATTGATGCTGAAAGCTTTCTTTTCACAAGCTTTGCTGTTTATTAAGAAATATGCCTTGCTGAACTTCAGTTAGACTTATTCCCAAGTGGGCCTGTACAAGATGTTTCTAATGGGCTTTGATCTCACCATTGCTCCTCCCCACCTCCCAGAGTATGTTTTTCCAAACAGTCATATCCTTGTCTTACAATGAATAATGATTTTAGTATGTTATGGTGTAAGAATAGTACTGTTTATATAATACCAATCTTACAAATCATATTTCAGGAACAAAGGCGTCTGTATGATTTGCAAAAGCAATGAAACTATAAGAGTCCAAAAGAGTATAATACACTCAAAATCCATTAGCTTTGCTAGCTTGCCATATAAAAAGGACTTTCTACTTATACATTGTACAAAGATTTGTTTTATTGATATAGCTGTAAAAGAGGCTTTGTGGTTTTTTTAAACCAAGTTAGGGAACTAAAATATAAGGCTGTAACATAGAATTGGTGGAAGAGACACAGAGCAGAGGCAGCATTTTGCTGAATTTGAGGGGGAGGAATGGGAGAGTAGCCTTGAAGCCATCTGTTGCTCTTGCTCAAGATGAATGATGCATAGACTGACTTTTCTAGAAACAAAAGATGAACCTCTTGAACCTGGCTGCCTCTGAAATCCTTTGTTCAGCTTATGCTGTTGGTCACATTAATACGGGACAGGAAATGCCATATACAGAACTGGAATATGAGAAGCCAGAATTGGAGAAGTACCTTTGGGGCAGGTGTGATAGGGACCTCTAGATGACAGGCAGTGTTACAGAAACACAATAGGAAATTCAAGTGATCCACCCAAGCTGCTGTGCAGGTTTCCTTCCAAACCTATTTAGTAGCCTTCAGTAAATAAATAATTTATATAAACTTTCTTTAAAACTAAAATAGAAGTAAAAGATGACATAGAAGCTTAGGTTGGGGAGTCTTTGCATCTTATCTGCAGAGCAGCAAAGTTTACTGATTGACTTTCCCTCCTCTCAGCCTACACATACCACAAGGTTATTGCATTGCTGGGATTCAGCCAGTTCGCACCAGGTAGCTAATTTTTTGTTGCCCAGGCCCAGAATGGACTTCCGGAAGCAGCATCCACACAGAGAACCGATTGTTCACATATTTGAATCCCACCACTGCGTTATTGTAACCCTAAAGAAAGGATCTGCAGCTTTAGTATTCCTTGGAAGGAAGGACAGGATAGGATGTCCGAATTGTATCTTATGCATTTTCTAGATTTTTGTCCTGCTTTTCACCAGAAGCTCAAGGTGATGTATGTAGCATTCCTTCCCCTCATATTGCCTCATAAAAACCCTGTCAGGTAGAATGGACTGAGAGAGAGGTATTGGTATCCCATGTGAATGGACTTGAACTCAGGTCCACCTGATTCTCCTCCAGCACTTTAATCACTATCCCAAACAAATATGAAAATATACTGCATATTTAGTCATATTTGGATTAATCCACACAATTCCATTCTTTTGAGAGCAAATTGCCTCCCCTCAAGAAAATTCCTGGTACTGTGAGCAATACGAAGGTGGGAATTTGTGACTTATTAACAGCACTATGGATAAGTAGTAGTTTTTGCTAATGTACAGGGTCTTTTGGTTCAAGCCACTGAGAGCAATGTTCTATCTTAAACATATTCATAGGTCTATCCACATTTAAATTATGAGGATTGTACAACTCTTGACAGTTTAAAATAAATGGATGAAAGAGGAATTTTGGATTAAGTATTATCGTATAGTCATAGAGTAGTTAAGAGTAAATATTAAATAGAGCAATTAAGAGTACATATTAAGCCAGTAAATTGGGGCGCTCTAGTCATCCAGATCTACAACTTCCAGCTTAACTAGCCTGCATAACCAATGCCAAGATTTGCGGGGATTTATAATTCAACAGCATTTGGAGGGCCAAAATTTCCTCATGCTCACAATGAAGAGTCTTGACAGTGAACTGCATGCATACCCTATTATTCTCAGAGCTTCCCTAGAGGAAAACATTGACTGAATGCTCCCTATACTTTTATCCAAACTAATATTTCAAAATGCCCTGAATTAATCAGTGGCTAGTCCTTCCGGGATTTAACTGGGAAGAAAGGGCAGTCTAGGAGAAAGAAAGTCTTAGGCGAAGGAACTCTATCCTTCCCAATTGTTGGTACCTTTCCTAGGGCATAACTACTAAGGTTGGTGGATGAGTCTTATAGATGGAATCTGGATGGGATCGTATTTTCAGCAAACCCAATCCATGCTTGCTTCCATTATTGAACAAGCTGAAAAAACTTAGGTTTTGAGTTATGCTGTCTTAATTGTGACTTTCTGGTGTTTGTTCTAGCAAATGTTTGCTAACAAAGTTTCTGCTATCCTTTCTTAACAGTCTTTTGCTGGCTGGATTTGCTGAAGTCTTGCTTCTTTACATTGAAAGGACTGGTACATGAACACTGGCAAGTGAAAAATGATTCTTCAATGGGACTCTTCAATTTTTGCTTTAAGAATAAACAATTAATGAAGACGTAGGCAAACAAGTGCAGTCCCATGGTGGCTTTCTCAACAATAGGTCATACAATGAAACTGAGGCATCAGCTCTAGGACAGAGTAGGATTAACTCCATTTGTTCCTGTTTTTAAGCCATATCTTCTACTAATAGCAATGCATAAAAATGGAATTTGATTCTTTTTTTTATATTATGCTAAAATGAATGATCATCACTAAACTGGAACTTTTCTGGTACTATCCAAACATTCCCTACTTTTTTTCCTCAGGGCCAACCTTCTAGTTGTAGCACTCTATTCAGATTCTTTTATCAAAGAATGGAATAGATATCCCCCCCATGAAGCCCTGCATTGCAGATATTCTGATCTCAAGATGTTTTACAGATAAACAGTACTTACGTTCCTCATCAGCTTGGGGTGCCCATTACCTATTGTAGGTAACATGCTGTACTTCCTCTGCTTCCTTATTTTCCTCCTGACACAGCATGGCAAGATGTCAGCCGCAAAAGTGTGTGGGAGGAATGGATCCATTGGCAAGCATCAGTACCATACATTCCTAGGGGGGCAGTGATACAGATCCAATGACCTCTCATATGATCTGACCCTCACATGCAATAGTGTTATGTTTTGTTTTACTGAACCAGTGTAGAATGCAGCTAATACTGTAGATTGTTTTTTACATTTGACAACTTTAAGATGTGCAGACTTCAATTCCCCAGCTAGCATGCCTTTACAAACCTGCTGTGAGGAAAATATTGGATGCAAGAAAAATCCAACCCAACTAATAAATGACCACTCATAAATAAATGATCATCAGTAACTCTGATAGGATAAGCGCATTTGAAGACTTATCCCTCTTTGTCCAACGACACTAGTTGTGTCAACTCAGGTACACAAAATCATTTGTGCTTACTTTCGTACAAGACCTTCTCTCATTGATTCACATACACTAATCTGGTTAAAGTGTTAACAAGATACATTAGTTGGGTTCAGACAATACTCCAAGTCACATTATGCTTTTGTATATTATATATGAACACAGCTATCTATCTCCAGTTTGCCTCGGCATGGGCAAAATGTAAGCATACTAGCTAAGTTAATTTTTGTTTCCGTGGGTACAGGGTTATAAGTATATTGTGATTTGGCATTTTTGAGCCTCTTTGCAAAAGCAAATAGATTTCAACTTAGTTGGAAAAGAAATAACAACTCATTGGAAGGTCTTCTCCAACATGAGTCCTTTGTACTTTTTGGCGTGGTAGAGATATAGATCACTGTGAATATTCAAATGTTGACTCTGTTAGCATTGAATGGTAACCAGCAAGGAAGTGGTTTAATCTCCACCAAAGCAGAGCATCAGCATTTTATAGTTATACAGTTCTACTTTCTGTATAAAATGAAACCATCTGAGAATAAAAATTAAAAAAGAAAAACACTCCATCCCAGAATCTGATGTGTGCCAAGGATTCTGTGGAAAATAAAAGTAAAAATGTGGATGATAATTAGCACATCGGCAACACTAGTTGCATTGAATGAAAAATAAAATAAATCTTACATTAAACATTAGTCTGTTTTTTCACTTATGTTTAATTATTATTTATCTAAATATTTATACATATGGGGTATAATACTTACCTGTATGTTGTAATTAGTTCTGACTCTGCATATGTACAAGGAAATACAGTGATGTTGAATACAGTTTTTGAAATTCAGTCTGCAGCATTGCTTCATTTGAATGCAGGCTCTTTCCATAGCAAATATTGGTCTTTGAATCTCTCTTATCCCTAAATATTTTTGCTGAGCAAAAATGCTCATCATTTGGGTAAGGGGCTTGTTGATTTGGAGGAATACTTTGGGTCATTGTCCTGTTGAAAGGTGAAATGAGACTGAAAGACTGAAATGATAATGTTTCATGGATTTGTTTATAGAGGAGATGGGCTATGGCAGGGGTGTCAAACTGCCAGCCCGCGGGCCGGTTGCATCATACAGATGCCGTACCCATCCCAGCTCCGGCAATGCCAAAAAGTCACGATACATCGCGACACGTCACATGACGCGGTGAGTTTGACACCCATGGGCTATGGGAAGAAGAAATCATTTGTTGCATTTTAAGAGAAGATGATAAAGTTATACTCTTCTATGTTTTCAGTTTGTATTAGTTTTTTACTGTTGTAATTATAATCTTTAATTAAATTACTATAAAAATTACAGAGTGAGATACCATAAGATCCAGATTTGGTTCTAGTACTCTTGAATATTTGCACAAGGACTGGGATTGAGATGGAAAAAAATACTTATCAAATAGGTAGGTGGCACAAAATTGGGTGAGATAGGTAATAACCTTGAAGACAGAAGTAAAACAGAAAACAATCTTGATAGGTTAGAGCAGGGGTGTCAAGCTGCCGGCCCATGGGCCGGATGCGTCACGTGGAAATTGCGCCCACCCCAACTCCAGCAAGGGGAAAAAAGTCGCGATATGTCGTGACATGTCACATGACACGGCAAGTTTGAGACCCCTGTATTAGAGGAATTAAAATGACAGAATGAAATTTACAAGACAAATACAAAATTCTTAAGAAAAACATGCAAAGGTATATGAGATCTATTTTGGTAAAAATATTTCTGTAAGAAAGATGTTAGAATTGTAATTAATCATAAGCAGTACTATAATCATCAATGACATGACTATAAAAAATGTAGGCTCCATCAACTGAAGTGTAGTTTCTGAATCACATAATATGATTTGCTCTACTCTGCATTACTCAGACTCCACTCTAGTAGTGGATCTCATATATGGTGGCAATGTCCCATTAATAAAAAAAATAAATAAATAAAAGTCTACTATTGTTAAATCTGAAGCCTTAGGTTTCATTTTTTCAATATTTGAAATTTAAGGCAACAGATTTTTGTTCTTATACTATTTTCACTTCCACTTTTCTTAATCCTAATGCTAATGACTAATAAAAAGAGGAACGAGAATAAAACAGTTGTTCAATTAATCTGCATTCCATGACAAACAATAAACACTTTATTTTATTTTAATTATTGTGCCAGTCATAGTCTATACCAAGTGAATCGGCACTGGGAAAAGTGGGACATGAGCATAAACTATATATAAAAATAGTAATTTAATTACCTGATGTTTGTTCTATAGCATGTTATGAAGTCCATCCAGCTGTCATCTTGCAGATCTGTGTGTGTGTATGTGTGTGTGTGAGAGAGAATCTATGCATACATACATTTATTTAGAAAACAGAATACATGGAAATTGCAGCAGTTTGACTAGGACAAGTCTGCTTTTTTTTCAGCTTACGTATTTTATGAACATGCGGTTTATAAATTTTTTAAGATTCCAGAGCAGTATGAAAAAGTGGCAATTTTAATGGCCCCTAATTTAAATTTGATTTTATACAGTCATTTCTAATGAAAACAATAATTGTTCAACAATAAAAAATTCTTACATTAGGTATGCATCTACTATGAGGGCCCAAGGCTGCTGCTGAATATGCCCTCGGCAGTACAACTTTGTTTTATAAAACACTGCTTAAACATAGAGCATCATCAATGTAACTTGGAATGCACTCTAACATAGAGTACAAATTACCAACATTACCAAGTGCAAATCTAACCATCTACACATAGGGGAAAGTGCAGTGATTATAAATTTGCATGTGGCCTAAAACAAGATCCTCATATAACAGCATCTTTGTTTTGAATGTCTGAATGGCATCACATACAAAGGTGAAAACATAAGATCAGTTATTTGTTTCTTGTACATGTATCTTTTTTAAAGTACTATGAACTTGAAAAAAAAGTTAGCGTTGGGGTAATCAAATAATCAGGAATTGCAAAATACTATCTGAGCTTATTCTAATGAAGCCATGTGTCTCTCTTCCAGTAGTTTTTGTAAAGCAAACAGAAAAAAGTTGTCCTCTGGTCTTTAGTAAACAATATCACTGCAATGATTCAAGGCTGCCACTGGGTTCCAAATCTGTCCAATATTTTATACACAACTGAACAGTCTACCCACCCACCAGGAAAAGTGCACTTTCAATAACAGTTACAAAAATAGATTGGCACATTGTTGACACAGTGACAATATCAATCACAACCCATCATTGGTTTTGGATCCATTCTTTAGGTGAACATCAGTTCTAGTAGGAAAAGCATCCAGTTCCAAGTGGGTCAACAGGATCATTTTTTTTTAAAGTGTAAAAGAAAGGTGCTAATACTCCTTGTTCTTTCGTGAATTATTTGGGCAACCCAGTGAAGTTCTCTTTTGGTCCACAAACTATTGTATGAATGTTTCACCCACTGTCCACTCACATGCGAACTCATTCAACATTTGCACTTAGTAGTTAAACAGTTCATCTAGCCTGAGAAGTCTTAAGGAATTCACTGTTTTATTCCTACTATCTGGTTGAAAAGCTGCATTGAAAAGAGAAGAAAGGGCACTGGGGCATCTGCATCCCATTTTTTTCTTTTTTTTGCATTTTCAGTAGTAACTTGCTGCTCTTCTGAGCAAAATAGACAATCGTTTTTAAACCCCTCCCCCTTCTTGGAAGGGTAGCCTGTGCTAGGAATTCTGGATCAAACGTCTGTAATGTGGCATCACTTCGTGTTCCGGTAGATGAAGAGCAAATTCCAAGGCCACTAACACCGGGAACTCAAAGGCAATCAACTCTCGCCTATTCAAGCGGAACTTTTCTTCCAGTTTCTGTAACAGAGCCAACAGTTACAGCTTAGTACCTTAGGATACTAATTGTTAGAAAGTTCTTACAATAAGTTCCCTAAATTTATTTATACATTAAAATAGTATCTGCCCAATCGGTTTGATCAGTCAGAGTTGGCACACTCCAGGTTCCATCAATTCAACAATACCACCACCAGGACCCTAGAAGTGCATGTTCTCCATAACAGCACATTTCCTCTGGAATCAGCTTCCTCCCAAGATTTGAACAGCCCCACCCCACTGGTATTTTAAAGGGCCCCGAAGACATAAGTGTTTGCCCAGGATGTTTGGTAAGGATGTTTGACCTTTCTTTCTTTTCCTTGTTGCATGCTCTGTCATCTCTACTCTTTTGTTATGTGTTCATTTTGGTTCTGCACAAATTTATAAACCACCCAGAGTTGCCTGGGAGTTGTAGAGCATACCAATTTAATAATTAGTATTATCAAAATAGAATTTTCGGATCATTTTAACTGTTTTTCAAGCAAAGATATTACCTGATGTAATGACCACAGAACACAATCCCTTCATCAGAGACATACCCAATACTTCTTCAGTTTTACGTTTTGTGGCAAAAATTAGTGGCCAGAGATACTTACATCTATAAGATGCCTGACTTCATGCTTTTTGATGTCACTGCCAATTTTGGCAGCTAGTAAGACGCATGCTCCAGCACAGAGCTTTCTGTTTTGTTTGTTGAGTTTTCCCTTGAGAGCAAGCTTTTCAAAATAGACAAAGGCCATAGCCACAGTAGGCTCCTCAAACCCACACTCTTCTTGAGCTAGTTTGCGCATTTCTCGCTTCAAGCTGAAAAAGGAAAGGAAGTAAGTTATGTTGCCAAAGAAAACTGAAGATAATAACAATGTCTGTAATTTAGAAAGCTTGCCTAAATATACATGGCTGAAATATTTGTAGTATTATGTTGCACATTATTCTTAGTACATGTAATTATTTATGCCTTCTGAATTTCTGAACACTGAAATGTCCATGTTTGAAATCATAACTATTTACACAGTAATAGGCCTGGTATCTTCAAATTCAATTGTGCTGGACAAGGCAAGATTCTAGGTAAAGTAACTAACATAGCAAGGGACTGAATTGCTTAAAAGACTATTCGGCAAGTAGAAATTCTAGTCTAACAGCTCTTTCTTATTCTTGCTGTTCCTACTCTACCTTCCAGAATAGGGTTTTCACTGCTCTCTCCAGGCTGAAGGCCACACCTAGCCTTTGGGTCGCGCGCTGTGAATCTCCCTGGAAAATATGTGAGGGCCAAGGCAAGAAGTGTTCTTGTTATACTTTCCCCATGCAACTGCAAAACTGTAAAAAAAGAGGTATATAAATGTATGAGATATGCTGAAATCATTCCAGCTGGTTAACTGGAACTTGCTTGTCCATGTAGTTCCTCAACTATATATAGTGGGTTTCCTATAGCTGTTCTTATCATCTAAATGGAGAATGGCCTTCCTAGTAACCAAATAATCAACTTTTGAAACGAGCGATTAAACTTGATTAGTGCTAATCAAAAATGGTAATCATTTTGAGATCTATCCAACCTATGAATTCACCCACCTCTTTCTATGTTTCTGTTGAACAATTCTTACAGGGATTTTTCTCCTATTCTCCTATTCTAAGCACTTCTCCGTTCCCCTTTAGTCTAAAGCAGGGGTAGTCAACCTTGGCTCTTTTATGACTCGTGGACTTCAACTCCCAGAATTCCTGAGCCAGCTAAGCTGGCTCAGGAATTCTGGGAATTGAAGTCCACGAGTCATAAAAGAGCCAAGGTTGACTACCCCTGGTCTAAAGAATCACATCTGTACATTTGCCTAACCATGTCTATGAATGCTTCTTTTTCAATCTACATTAGTATTGATTGACTTTATGTTTTCTCGCCATGTGATTTTCTTGGTAAAAACACAGAAGTGATTTATCATTGCCGTCAACTGTGCAGTATGAAATGATACCCTTCCCATTGTCACTAAAGTGACCATCTATCTCTGGCATCTTCCCATATCAATGCTGCCCAACGTAGGTGTGTAATTAATTCAGCTGGGCAGCTGAGATGACCTGCACACATTGGGTGACCCTGCTAGGAATAACAGTACACACTCCCAACATTCTTCACTCATCCCTCTGAGGAACACTATCAACATAATGAGGCAGCTGGGGGGGGGGGATGTTAGAAGTAGGGATTTTTTAAAAAAGAAAAGTAACAGTGGGATTTGCATGTCAACAAAAAATGAAAACAAAGCAAGAAATGGACTTTATTTATATCACGCCTTTATTATTTTTATAAATAACGCAAGGCAGTGAACATACCTAGTACTCTTTCCTTCTCCTATTTTCCCTCTCTGAGGTGGGTGGGGCTGAGAGAGACTGACTGGCTCAAAGTCACCCAGCCAATTTTCATGCCTAAAGTGGGACTAGAACTCATGGTGTCCAGCCTGGTACCTTAATCACTAGACCAGTGGTTCTCAACCTTTTTAATGCCGTGACCCCAACCGGTCGTAAGTCGAGGACTAAACCGGTCGTAAGTCGAGGACTAAACCGGTCATAAGTTGAAGACTACCCAACCGGTCGTAAGTCGAGGACTTTCCCTGCCCAGGAGTGCCGCGCATGCATGGTTCCGCCCCCTGCGCCTGCCGAGGCATAGCTGGCAAGCGGCAGAGACGGAGCAGGCCAACCACCAGCTGGCCCAGCCCAAGGGAGGTAAGGCACCCGCCGGAAAAGGGGAAAAAATGGTGGGCAAAAAAAAATGGCGGACAGCCTTGCTTGGCGACCCCCGTGAAATGGCCAATCGACCCCAAATGGGGTCCCGACCCACAGGTTGAGAACCACTGCACTAGACCAAACTGGCTCTCTACATTTTATATTTCCTGCAATGCTGTTTTTGATCTTTTGCAATTCCCTTTCTTCCTCTCTTACCTCTTTAACCTGCCCAGCAGGCATTAAAAAAGGTTCCTGCCTAAAATCTGAACTAACCCTAAGCAAAAGCTTTTGAAAAGAGGCAAAGGGTCTCACGCTGCTGTAAGTAGCCATGGTAATCTATTTTTATACATGTTTATTTAGGGAAAATATTTTTTCTATAACCTTTCCTCTGTTAGGTGTGTTTGGGTGCACACATGCACTTGTGGGTGATTATAGATAGTTACAGGTGTATATGTATATGTACAGTATATGTATAATATATGTACATGTACATACACAAATATCTACACATATGCAAAGTGGAAAGTCATTGCATAATACTACAAACCACTGAAGACCATCTGCCAATTATCTTGCCTATACATGTCAACTGAAAAGATTATTTACATCCTCACTTTTTCAAACTTAAGATTGTACAGTACAGAAAGTGCTGTAAAATATACTAAAGTAAATTGCTCACAAAAATATTCAGGAGAAACATGCACAGGAAAACATGGATTTTTGTCAGAGATTAATACAAAAAAACCCCAGAAGCTATGAATTCACATAGAACAAGGATAGAATGAACTTAAATTGAGAAAAATGAACAATGAAAAAAATTATATCTGACATATTTGCCAATCCCTAAGCAGTCTTTAATAAAATGCAATTAGGATAAATTCTTCCATCAATTCATCCTGTTAATGAATCTCAATTTTTTTGTCTGTCCCTAAACTATCCAATAGGAATTTTTTCTATTTTGTTTACTCCCTTTACAAAAAATCTCGCCTCCCTTAAGTCTTTCCTTTCAGTATTTATAGTTAATTATTAAAACATTGCAAATCAATAATATATACTTAGGCCCATGTGCTTCCTATCTTATTTACCCAACTACCTGATCAGGAAGCAGCTGATTGTTTAGTGTCCTTAAAGGTCATTTTGCAGAAAATCTCCTGTTAATGTTTTACCTCCCTATACCAAATGTATCAAAAGGTAGTTCCCTGGGGTTATTACCTTCTTATTTTACTGAGTGTCAACTTGATGTAAGGAAACTTTTCCTTGAAGGTCTCATTCATATCTTTCTTAAGGTCCGATGGCTTCACATAATCAATGACTGTAGTCTGTAATATATTACAGGCAAGAATTAATATCCATTTGGTATTAGAATCTCTGCCTCTCCCTTTTCCTCTTTTTTTTCAAACATTACCATAGTAATTATTTTCTAATGTATATCCGTTTCATCAAAGAACAATAAAACAGTTTGTGGTATTTTAAAATCAATATAAATATCATTGCATAGGGCGGCTTTCATAAGATCAAGATTTCTTATCAATATCCACAAAATAGTGTACGTGTGGATGCAGACATGCATGGACACACACATACACAAATACATTACTAATTACTTTTTCACAATTGGCTGGGCCAAAAAGCAAGGGGCAGCAGTAGGTTTGCATGTAGGCTCCTCTGAGTTTTATTGCTAGGAACAATTCTTCAGAGACGTGCCCAGCAGAAGTCTTGCAAGTTGTAAAAGTTTTCTCAAGCCAGTCTGGAAGCTGACTATTTACAGTAGCCACAAGTGCACTTTGAATGTAAAGTTACTCATGTACACTCCAGATTGAGTGGTTACAAGCCCCTACTGAAGTATTATGTAGTTGAGAATTTATAGGATCTAGTTTATAATTATAGTTTAAGTCAGCGGTAGTCAACCTTGGCTCTTTTATGACTCGTGGACTTCAACTCCCAGAATTCCTGAGCCAGCTGTGCTGGCTCAGGAATTCTGGGAGTTGAAGTCCACGAGTCATAAAAGAGCCAAGGTTGACTACCCCTGGTTTAAGCAATTGAACAGATGCCCATAGCAATCAGGCCTATTCTTTGATGCTTCTCTATCACAGCCCATAAGATCCAGCAAGAAGAATGGTGGCCAGTTAGCTACATATACCTTTAGGAAGCCAATTACTCAGACTAGAGGCAAGCAACCTTCTTTGTAGACAGAGAAGTCATATTTTTTTAATATGAGATTCCTCAAAGAAGCCAGCAATACTGCGTTGTTATCAAAGTGGCAGGCATTCTTGGGAGAAGAGAAAATTTAGTACAAAACAGATGCATTAAAACCTAACAGAGGTTTAGCAAAACTATTTTAATTGTTATTTTCAAAAAATAAAAGCCCCTCACAACTGTGCCACTGAAAAGGGGTATTCTGGTATATTTTAATAGCATGATCTTCGGTAGTTTAGGGAAGCTTTCTACCCCAAGAGGAACTCATTTAATAATTTTTAATACTCAGAGAATTCCTAAATAAAAATAACAATACAAAAGTTTACAGTACAATTTACTTCTACTTACATAATTTATGTTTTACAACATCTATCAGAACAATCATTGGCAGGCTAGCAGCAGTCATGGTGCATAACAATTCCTATCATTGAAAATGTTATTGCTTGAAGCATTATCCCCACCTTCCCTCCTTCCCTCTCTCTCTATCCTCTCTCTCTCTCTCTCACACACACACACACACATATCTATCTATCTCACAATTTGAGATAGTTAAGAAAGTCTGGTTTAAGAAGTTGCCAACTTGCAGCTGGTATGTTGCATACATTCTATAAGCCTTGGGTTGCTAACCTGTCATCCAAATCCATTTCTAAATCTATCAGCTTCAACCCTGATTATAGTTTTAAATACTACAAGTTATGTATAGCAGTAGAGACAGGGGAATTGTTTATTCTGTTGAGAATCCTATTCCATATTGCAGAAGCACCTTATTTATTAATTACTGGAGGTCCCTGTTTCAATGATACTAGTCCTACCTGCAGAATTTATAGTTACTTTGGTTCTGCCACATTACTCCTACACAACTGGAGAAGCCACTGAGAACCGTGATTTGGATTGTGATGCCATTACTATGTTCATCAGTTCTATCTCTTCACTTTATTTGTCTTAAGAGAGGCTACGTGAATGCACTGGTGGGCTGGATATAGATCAATACACTGAGTCTGAATCTGACAACTGCTATATACAAATAGCTCTGAAGTTTGAGAATTAGTGAGAAGGCTTGCTAGAAGAGTCTACGAACTAAATTCTATGTGCTAGAAAGTGTTCCTGCCTATATAGACTTTTTAAGCTATACATTTCACAATGTACATATACTTTGTATTGTTTTGTTCTTAAATTATTAAGTAAATCAATTTGGTCTGCATTTCTAATGACGTACTAAAAAAACTCGCTTAACTTCGATGACACTAAAGCAGGGGTAGGCAACCTTGGCTCTTTTATGACTCGTGGACTTCAACTCCCAGAATTCCTGAGTCAGCCATGCTGGCTCAGGAATTCTGGGAATTGAAGTCCACGAGGCATAAAAGAACCAAGGTTGCCTACCCCTGCACTAAAGCAACTGAATTGGTGACAGATCATTTGTTCAGTTCAAAGTTATAATGGTGCTGAATGAAGGAACTTACAATCCATGCCACAAGTTGTGGCTATGGCAGCACCCTTGTGGTCATGTAGTCAAAATTTGGGTGCTTGGGAGTTGGCCCACTCTGATGATTGCAGGAACGCTGCAATTTCCCCACTCACCAATCCCGTCCCCCATCTATGTCTTTTTGGCCCCCTGACACCCTGCACTCTAATGCTTCAGCTGACCTTCGCCATCTTCTTGCTCCTGCTGATGAGGTACACCTGGCCTGGCTGCTGGGCCAGAACTGTACTGAGAAAATGGAGGGAGAAAGCCAAAAATATCATTGAGCTGCAGAGTGCCAAAATGCCTCTTTGCAAAGAATTCCTGGACAGGGCTGGGACTGGTTTGCACTGCAAAAAAAGGCGGGCAAGTCGACAGCAGCCATTCTATGCCATTCCTTTTTCAAATTGCGTGCTCCATTCTTCTGATCCTTCGGAAAGCTTCTGATGTTCTCCAGGTCTTGCAAAAATAGGTGCACTGTTTGGAGAAATTCAGCAGCCCTGTTCTCACAGTGCTTTGGAAGTCCTCGTTCTCCAAATCAAATGCTCATTCTCACAATCATTTGGAAAGTTTCTCGTGTTCCCAGATTTTGTGAGAAGAGACACACTATTTGGAGAAGAAATGGTGCATGCAAGTTGGAGAATGAGGCCTTTTGACAACGGGGCTCCTGCCTTTCTCCAAATAGTGCAACCAGTCTTGCAAGATCTGGAAGCTTTCCAAACAACCAGAAGAATGCCGTGTGATTTGGAGAAGGAATGGCATGAGCAGCGACGGGAAGAAGGCCTAGCATGGCCAACAGCTGCCTTGTATACAGTATGTTTAGGCTGGGTGCACTTCATCAGCAGCATGAGGAAAACTGTGGAGGTCAGCTGGGCATAGCAGAGCCTGTGGAGTGCAGAACAGCAAGGAAACTGGGGCTTTGCACAATGGTGCTGGGGCACCAGGCTGTGATGTGAGGCTTGAGGCAGCATTTATCAGTGACAGCTGTAATGTTGGAACTGAAGTAGAAGCCACAGATGTAGTGGCAGCTGGCTGAGACTGCTGAAGGCCATGGTCCTCTGCTTCAGCTGTAGTCCCAGTGCTGTGGCTGCCAAGTGCCACTGTGCATGGCAGCCAAAAGATACAGTCCTGGGTGATAAGGGGGAGTTGTAGCGCCCCTGCAGTCAATTTGATAAATAACACAAGTTACTACATCTTTGATTATTGCCCTTATATTATTGGGGGAAAGAGCAAAACAGAGTTGCCAGAGATTCTTTACGAAGTGCTGAAGTATACAAAACTTCTCAGCTGTAAATTTTATTAATCTTTAAAATATAAAGGGCAAAAAATATCAAATGACCTGCCCAGTTTTTCATCCCTAAACAGTGTTGAATGTGGTAGACTGTTTACTTTTGAAGACATGAAATATGTTGTTAGCACTTAAATGTAGGAGAGCAGCTGGCATGAGTCCATTGGAACTGGTAGCTATTTATCCTGGCAGACATTCAACTGTTCAGCCAGACATAGCAAGCAGACTAATCCCCTTCAGTGGAATGGACAACTAAATATGAGGTGCTCCCCTGAAGCACAATTTAAGTCCTTTTGAATTTCTGCTATAACTCACTATTGAGACAAGTCACCATGGAAAATTTCTTGACTATGAAAGTAATTCTAAGTAACTCCTGAGTAACTATCAAAGTTGGAAACAACCTGAAGCAAAATCAAATGCTGGATGTAATTCCCTATTTTTTTCCAATAATTTTCAAGCTGGAAAAAGATGAAACACAAACTGTAATTTAAAAAAGCATCCTATATGTAAGCTATGTGCGGAGGTTTCTAGATCTGCACAACTATTTCTTATTTTCCGAATTAATCAACATCAAAGCATTCAGGCATGCTATGGTGCAAGAAATTTGTCTATAAATACCATTTTTATATTTAGGTAAGCCTGAAATAAAATGATGTTACTTTAAAAGCTCCATTAATTTTAGTGCTGGGATTTCTTAAAGCGGTGAGATCTTTTTTCAAGCTTATGTGACATCTAAAACTATCAGCCTACTTTAACTGATTGTTCAGTGATATTGCCCTTGCATGAAGTCTGAAAATTACTTTCAAAGTTTTCACTCCTCTATAGCACTTTAGAAATAGACAGACTAATGCAATGTATTAATTTTCAAAAAAATCACTTTATCCCAAGCAGAAGCCTTTCAGGACTGTTTGCCTGCGTCAGTTCTTGGGTACTTCATCATCTTAAACACTGTTGTATAATTTAGTGCCAGGTAAAGCTACTTCAGGGGAAATCCAATGTTGTACATGCAGTCGTTTATTGATACACCTTCTATTCTGTTCTTCCTTCTTCAGAATCCTGAAGAAATGTCCTTCCTCAACATTCTCAATCTACAAGAGTAGATTTGGAAGCAGGGGAAGATGGAACTGCAGGGGGTAACATAAATTATATTCTTCCCCATGCATCTGACGAAGCTATTCTGTAATGGAATGGATAGAATGGACTACACTGGAATATAACCTTCTGCCAGATTGTAAACAGATGTATTTCTCAGTACACAAGCTGACAAATACGTAACTTTGTCAAAAAATTCTGTTTTTAACCTAGACATAGATTGGTTTAGCTAGCAGCAACTACAATCTATTTTCCTGCTCCTCACACCCCACGCATAGAGATTCATATTCCTTGAGAAACAAGTAGTAGAGAAAGAAAACCCAGTTTGCATCTGTTGTTTCCCTTTTAAACCACTGTTGAAATGATACATCCCAGAGTGCTATATTCTTAGTATGACTAGTGGGAATACTTTATATCAATCCCCTTCCAAAGTATGCTCCATAAACTCATGCAGTGCCATCAAGGAACATTTCCTTGAATAAATCGAAATGCCTCAAATTTTAAAATTTTGTGGGTTTTTTTGCCAAATTCTCAGTCCCGATTTTGTTAATTATGTCCCTAGACTGCCAGCGTAATTCTACTCCTCAGACTAGAACAAAAACTACGAAAATAAGAGTGCAAGAGTGGGATGTTTGAATACATTGTACAAAAGCTGGTTTACACCACTATGTCAGACCATTTTGTATATTCTACTTCGATCCATCCCATGTATGTATGCATGTGTCTGTCCTCACCCATGAAAGAGAACAATTTTACAAGGCTGCAGCTGCCAAGCTGTAATGACATAAGCCTGCCAACAAATGACTGCTTAATTACAAACCAGATTTCAGCACGCAGGGAACAAACTGTTCCATGCTGACACAAGGGCCACTCTCAGTTCAGCACCCTTCTGAAATGTATCAATTAAAATAACTGTATTCTCCTCAATGTTTCAGATTATTTTGGCTTTTTGTTATACAATGAGCAGAATCCATTGTCATGCTAGTCGAAATCTCCTTGTGCAAGATTTTTTTTTCTCCTTATCCCTGCAGCTTTCTTTCACTTATACACCCTCAAAGTCTGCTCCTGATGGCTGATGACTAGAAAGCTAAACAATTTAAGTTAGTTTTATAACTAACTGCTTATACAAAGAGATCTACACATAGTGCATGTAATAGTAGCTACAATGAAATGATTCATTATCACAATTAGGCCTATGTATAGTGTTGGATGTTCAGCTTGTAAACTATATGGTATGATTTGCTGGAATATCATATGAACCGGCTCTCAATATCAGCATTATTGATTGTTTTTCTTTTAAAGAATGGTGAGTTATAACTCTTGGCAGCAGCAGAATTTTCTGAAATCTAAATGGATGTTGAAATATGAAATATTACAAGATGCCTATAAACAGAAAAGCAGTATCTCAAGAGTAATGGAGGGCATATAAGAAAACAGGAGGGCAACAATGCCATAAAAATGTATTAAGTCACACTTGATGTTGCTGAAGCATGAAGAAAAATCAAGTGATATTTCACTGTCCTTTTCTTTCATTGTGAACACAGATCTACAAGTGCTTTTCCAATTTCAATACAATCATAATAATTTGTTACCCAGAGATGATATAATAGTAATCAAGCCATATAAAAACCAGAAGTATAACCAATTATTATAACTGAAATGTAACTATCTGTCACGTTACTATTATACTCACCATATAGGAAGGAAATATCAGCACCCGCTTGTGCTTCCCACATGGCCACTGAGGATCATCTAGAAGATCAGGGTTGTATTCAGTATAATCTCCCAAGTCACTGCCTATGAAGATTATTAATAAAAAAGAAGCAACTGCATGAGACCTAAAACAACACCAGTCAAATGGATACTCAAATTATATAATATTGTCTGCCTTCATTTTTGTATCTGAAAGCTTTAATACTAAATGGGGTGAGCTAGGGTATAAAGCTGATATAGTTTCCAATAACAATTTAGGAAAGAGCTGAAGTAGATCAGTGGATAAATAGGTACAAGAAATGTTAAGTTAAAAAAAATCACATGATGTAAATCGGAAAAAGAAGGCTTCCTAAATGATAAACCATGAATTTCATATCAGCTCTATTATTAGATCAATGTAGAGGCTAACAAAACTATTTTTTCACATCGTGTTTGTGGAAAATAAACTTACTGGAGACTGTATAATATTAGTGAAATGCTTGATCTACAAACAGCTTTGCTGCACTGAGTGAGCATCTAAATGAGCAAAGTTGCTTAGTCACAAAATGTGTTAGCTTTTGGCCATATGCCAAAGCAAGGCATCCCATCAATATCAACAGCTCTTGCAAGATTCATGATTTGATTTCATACTATAACAGAGAAAAAACACAATGCATGAGACATGTAGAATGTGTTCAAAGTTAGCTTTGTCACATAAGTTCATAAATGGCCAATTAGATCACGTGTGCACATACTGTTAATAGGCTACCTGTATCAATGCTCCCTTGGGTGCTATTAGCTCTTCCCAATGAAAGGCTACGATGGCTTGCATTACGAAATTGTGAAAAGGATGAGGTCGAGTCTATCGTGTTTCTCCGTGCCCCCAATGCATTGGTTGGAAAGAGAAACTGAGTATAAGAAACAGTCTAATCAAGAAGAAAAGAAAAAAATATTCAAGTTGAGAGAACACATCACTGAAGATGAACAGGAAGCTATTTATAGAAACATACTTCTACACAATTCGACTTGACTATATCAATAATTAGCAGTAAATTCCATTAAATGCAGTGAAGCTTACTCCCTCTGGAAGAGGATTAATGATTTTAGCATAAATTTACAAATGAACTGAATAATCTAATGTTGTTTAGTAATAACCACTCATTTCTCCAAAGATAGTAATCTGAATGTAGTTTTTTATTTCAGAGATTATATTTTGAAGAATAAGTACCCATACCTTTCCATTAGCTCCTAATTCCACACCTTCAAGGCCAACTATATCTTTCAAGCAAACACCTGCAGTAGAATGACATTGCCTTCCACCTTCTGTTTTCATATCTCTGTGAAATAAAATCAGCGATGAATATAGTTTTTAGAATTATGTGGAAATGCTGAATTTGAAAATGACCGTTTGTTACTTCTATAGTTTTGTGCAAGAGAAAAATGAGGAAGATAAAGAATGCAATAAAATATCTTCAAATTCATGTAAAATTTCAGTCAAGGTCAGTAAATGTTTGGAAGAAATATAGAATCTATTAATCCACAACTGCCATTCATAATGTCTGCTACCTCCAGATGACAACATGGAGTTACAATAAATAAATACTTGTAGCACTTTGCTACTATATCTTGGTAATTTTGTTTTTTGCAACCAAGTTATAGTAATCTTAGTGGGTTAAATAGATTAAATTTGTGCAAGTTATAGATTAAGATGCAAAAGAAACAAACAGCAAAAAATCAGTAATATGTCTACATATTCGCAGTATTTTTACTAAATGTTTCATTATATACTTGAAAATGGAAAATGATTTATTTTTACAAAATAAAAAAACTTTTTAAAAAACCCAAAGAAATCCTGTTACATATCAATACCATAACCATGAACTCTTCTAAAAATTGTTATGAATTTAGGAACTGTATTGTGTGGATGTAGTTCTATTCACAAATATTTTCCATTTAGCTGAAGAAATAGCAAACACTCTTATAAAAAATTCCTTTGTGCATACGGATATTCTCCTTTATTGGAATAAATGGGGATATCTATACATGGGCATCTACAAAGCACAGGGAAACAAATGACTAGAATGCCAACTCCACCCCTTTGTGCAACATTGTGATGCAAGTATGAAAGGACAGAGCTTGTGCTGTAACATCAAAGCACATGGTCAGTTTGCTATATTGTTGCTGGCTGATGACACCTATGTATCTATGGCCAGAGGAATATATATTGATTGGGTTCACAGATCAGGCTAAACCATGTTGTGAACTATTTTATTGTGCTTAGTGTTCTGTGCAAATTCAATTAAATGCCCAGACTCATTTGCTATGAGATGGGCAGCAAATAAATTCAATATATAAATAAGGTTAAAAGTCATGATTTACTGTTTTGTATGATATATGGCTATTTAAGTCATGATTTACTGTTTTGTATGATATATGGCTATTTAAGTTAGCAGGACTGGCCTAAGGGTTATTTTAATTTGGTTTAAAAGAAATTTTTTGAATTTTCGGCCTTAGAATAATATTTCATTTTAATTAATATTTTAAATTTTGTATTTCTGTATTCAAGTATTTGTTTTTAAATGGTTGTAAGCCGCCCTGAGTCCCCAGGGAGAAGGGCGGGGTAGAAATACAAGAAATAAATAAATAAATAAGAAATAAATAAATAAATATATAAAGCCAGCTTACTGATAAAGCAAACTTTACCTTAGCATAAATCAAGCCACTGAATCAGATATGATGAAAAGAACTTAATTAAAGGGGAGTGGTTTTTTTTTTTTAATTAAGGCCTCCTTAACCTTAGTTTTGTGTTACAAAACAGCTTCATTAGGTAATTGACATAGAGGAGTTCTTAATATGCCCATGGATAGATCCTTCCCTTGAAAATCACATTTTAAATGTTCTACTGTCATCAGATTTTATGGTATACTTGAAAAATAAATCTTGATCTAAACCATTTAATCATTATTGTGATAAAAGTTGCTGGCAATTACTATTGGAGGAAAAACCACACACAAGGGAATAGTAAACACTTCTTTTCGCTGTCTAATAAAAATGTCCCCCTTCTGAGACTACTTCATACATCATTCATTTCATTTGACTAAAATACCACATGTTTTGTCCTTGTTCCCCTAAATTACTTTTAGGAGGCCATAGTATTACTTTCATATCTCTTAGTTGAATATGTAGTTTACTTTATGTAAGATTTTTCCCCCTTTTATTTCATTTAGGAGAAGCTTGGAAGCAATAATTTATGCTATAAACAAACATTATTAGGCATTCATGGAAGGAATTCTAGATAACATTAACATTAAAACAACCATGTACTTGAAAACCATGTGAAATAACTCATAATTTTACTTATCACACAAAAAACTGCTGCCCTGAAAGTTCAAAAAGTTAACCAAGTAAATACAACAGAAGGAAGTCATAAGACAGTAACAACTTATCTGGAAGAAGTTAAGAATTTATTATTCATTATTTATTTATTCCCCAGTATTTTCTGAAGAGTGACTTCTTAAAGAAAATTTCATTTTGTG